TGCCTGGCGCTGCGCTTGTGGTCGCGACTCCGCCAGCCATACTGTCAGGCATGGGAGAAGAAGCATGCAGAGGCCTTCTATTGGGGCACGGGGCCACACAATACCTGTGAGAGAGCTGGCTGGGTCCACAATCTCTTGGGGGGCTTCTGCAAGGAAGTTTGGTTTCAGAGCGGGTCCGTCTTGGTCGACCTGAGCCGCTTCTATGAGCACATTAGGCACCTTGATCTCAGAGCTGCGGGGCTCCAGTATGGGTTCCCCATCAAGGTCCTCAGAGGGTACTGCACGATCTATGCTGGATATAAAGCTCTGATGTATGGAGGTGCCGTATCGTCGGCCTACTTGGCGAATGCAGCTGCGGTGGCCGGATGCTCAGGAGCGACGACACTGGCTAAGTTATTGCTGCTCCGTCCGCTTCTTCTCACACAGCAAGGTAGGCCGAATTCATTCATCCGCAATGTTGTAGACGACGTTGCACTACAGGCGTGTGGTCGGCCAGTTCAGGTAGCTCAGGTGCTATCGAGTGCCGTCGCTCAGCTCTTCTCGTGCTTTGAGGAGCTCCACCTGCCTGTGAACACCAAGAGAACGAAGTACTTGTGCACGCGAGAGGTTCTGGCCCATGTTGTGGGCTCCTGGTGCTTGCCTGGTACGTCTCGGGTCGAGCACGCGCGCAATCTTGGCACGGATGCGACGACGGGCTCACGACGACGTGTTGGAGTGCAGCGAGCGAGGTTCATCGACGCTGGTTCGCGCTCGAAGCGACTTCGACTGCTGAGGGAGGCTGGGGCTGATGTGGCTCTTGCACAGAGAATGGGGGCCACGGCATCGGCCCTCTGGGGCAGTAGTGTCTTGGGAATTTCGCCGGCGGCCATGCACGGCCTGAGGCTCTCGGCGGCCCACGCTCTAGGACGCCATCCCAAAGGGGCCTCCCTGGGAATTCGGCTGCATTCTTTTCGTCTGGGGGAAATCGTTGACCCGTTGGTGGCCTATGCTGGCCATGTGGCCTGTCAATGGGCCACCGCTGTCTGGGATAGTTTTCCCAAGGTCTCGATTTTGAATGCGACGGCCGACGCGGCCATAGCTCGAGCCAATTCGAAAAGGCACCCATGGCAGGGAGCTGCGACACCTGCGGATGTGGCAGTGCTCAGTCTCGCTCGTGTGGGCTGGACTTCTCGTGATTTTCGAACGGTCGAAACTGACCTCGGGCAGGTCTGGAATCTCTCTCAGATTGCGCCTGTGGAGTTTCGGTTGCAGGTCCGTGCTGCGGCCGTCAGAGCGTCGGACAGGCAGGCGTTGATGCAGGTAGGCGATGAGCTCCAAGGGTACCCTCTTTTCTGGGATGCTGTGAGGCCTCTCCTTCGCTCCTCCTCCTCCTCCTCTTGGAAGCCCCAGCATCAGAGGGCCCTCAGGAGCCTTATGAGTAATGTGCAATGGCCTCAAGCTAGAGTGCACAGGCATGGGTATCACAGTTGCTGCAAGTGTAGGCTGTGTCAGGAGGAGGCGGGGGCCCTTTTTCACAGACAATTTCGTTGCTCGGCCCACGCTGTGCTCAGGAGGGACATGGTCTCGCCGCAGCTAGCCAGACGGGCGGCCCGTGTGCTCGAGGGAGGGGAGGAGCTGGCTGAGAGATTCGCGCGTGCGATCTTTCCGTCGCCGTTGGCGCTCTTTCCTGCCCAGGAGCCTGAACAGAACGCGCTCTGGATTAATAGGCCTGGGTCAGGCCGCCTCAGCGGTTTATTTTTTTCGGATGGGTCCGCTTCTTGGCCAGGGATTCCTGGGCTTTCGAGGGCTGGTTGGACCTTAGTCCAGGCCGATCCTCTGGGCAACGTCACCTCGGCTTGTTACGGACCCGTCCCCTTCTCCCATGGGCCTCGCCAAACGGCCAAGGATGGGGAAGACTATGCTGTGTACATGCTGAATCAGTGTGCGATGGCACCGTTTGGTTTATATTGTGACTGCCAGGGAACTCTGGACGTCCTCTGGGGTGGCCAGGGGGCGGGGGCCTCTGCTGGAGGGCCCAGGGCCCACCTGTGGGCTCCCTTCTGATCCAGTTTCTCCCCGGGGGATTTCACGGCGTTTAAGACGGCAGCTCACTGCTCGATGTCTGATGTCCACAGTGGCAAGACGACCCTGTGGGAGAAGCGAGCCAATGACTCGGTAGACTCTTATGCGAAGATGGGTGCTGCAAAGCACCAACTTTGCCAACAGGACGTCGACTTGTACAGAGGTCTCAAGTGTCTTGTGAAAGAGTCTGCCAAGTGGGCTGCATATTTAGAGGTGCACTTGCAAGGCCAGGCGGAAAAGCGTCTGGACACTGTCGGCCTTGAAGCTTCGGAAAAGTGTGCACCTGACTCTCACGAGTTGCCGCCTCAGCCTGAGCCTGAGATTGAAGAGTCTGTGGGCGGGGAGGGGGTGGACTTTGGGGGGTCGGACGGGCTCGATTGGGAAGAGGTTGCCACCAGCGCTTTTACCTGAAGGGGCATGCCCTGATGAGATGCGAGATCGACTCGCCTCAGAAGTCAGGAATGCCGCTTGTGTTTTGTGTCAAGTGCGGTGCATATTGTGAGGACTTCCGCCCAGGTGCGCTTCTGTTGGACGGCTGCTTGCGCAGGCCGAGGTCCCCACAGGTGAAGCATCAGCTAAAGCGAATTCGTGAAGGGAAACACCCCCATGGTCGAGCCTCGTCGAAGCATCTGACCCTTCTGTCTGTTCGCTGCCTCTCTCAGGCGGAGCGAGATTTGTTGTCTGTCCGTTGTGCTCCCTCGGCCGCCGCGCCCGCAGGGAGGCCCTCTGCCCGTGCGAGGTCGGGGTACGCCTCGAAGCAGGAGGTCCTCAGAGCGTTCGGGCTGGCTGACGAGGACCTGCAAGACGTCAGGGAGCTCGGTCAGGCCGCGGGTAGGCCCCGCCAGGAGGACGAGGATGAGGCGTCCTCTGATTCTGATGGGGGGGTCTTTTAATCGTTTTCTCCGACTTTAGGTCGCTCCACAACAACCTGCTCCTCCTCCTCCTCCTCCTCCTCCTCCTCCTCCTCCTCCTCCTCCTCCTCTTCCACTCCTCCTCCTCCTCTCTCATACCTCCTCCCCTCCTCCACCTCCTCCTCCTCCTCCTTCCCTCACTCCTCCTCTTCCTCCTCTCGCCTCCTCCTCCTCCTCCTCCTCTTCCTCCTCCTCCTCCTCCTCCTCCTCCTCCTCCCCCTCCTCCTCCTCCTCCTCCTCCTCCTCCTCCTCCTCCTCCTTCTCCTCCTCCGCCTCCTCCTCCCCCTCCTCCTGCTCCTCCTGCTCCTCCTGCTCCTCCTCCTCCTCCTTCTCCTCCTTCTCCTCCTCCTCCTCCTCCTCCTCCTTCTCCTCCTCCTCCCCGCACCCCAGCTGGCGTCGACAGTGGGAACTGGCTCGCACGTGGCCGCTGTCGGTGGTGCCGCGGCGCTGCAGGCGTCGGGCGGAGGCCATGGCAGAGGCCCGCAGGCCGCCCCGCCGCCGAGCTCGCGACCGCAGCCGCGCGGCGGTCCGAACGGCCGCCCGTCGTCTCCGCTCACTCGGATCGCGGATCGGGGTCCCCAGAGATGCAACGCATTGAAAAACAAGACGGAGGCTGTTCGCCTTTATCGGTCTCTGGGGGCCCTGGCCGGGCCCCGGGATCGTGACAAGAACTGCTCGGGACGAAAAACCAGCCCTGGGCCGCGGGTCGAGACTTCAGAGGGGCCGTGCTGAAAACTCAAAACGTCGGGCCTCTGGGTCTGCGGGCGCTCTCTCTCTCCGTGCTGGGCCCCTGGCTGGAGCGAGGGACAGCGAGACCACCACCGCCAGCGCGAGGCGCCAGGGAGGATCCTCCCGGTGGTGTGGTCCCCCCCTCTCTCGAGAGACGTCCTGCATCCCGAGCTCGAGGAGAGGCAGCGTGAGGCCCCCTCGCTGGAGGTGGTGTCGTCGCGACTCCTCCCTCCGATCTGGGAGGCCTCTCGTCACGAGGGGCCGGATTCCAACGAGAGGCTGGTCGGAACCGGAAATGCTGCAGGTTGCGCACAGGCAGCTCCAACAGGCATTGGCCCGCGCACAATGGAACAGGGGAATGAAGGAAAGCTCCTCGTCTGGAGGCTGCTTCTTCGAAGGCGCCGGCCTTGCATCTACAAACGAGGACCGCGCCTTCTAAGAAACAGCCTCCCTCTAAGAAGCCTTCCCTCCCCCCCCTGCCCCCCTCTGCGCTTGGCTGAAGGTTTCCCCTGGATGGCGTCAACAGGGTCCCCCGGGTCTTGCCATCGCTCGGACGTCCACTCCCCGTGCATGTTTCGGTTTCGTGCGCTTGATCTTTTTCGCAAGATGGTCCAAAATGCTCCTCGATGGTACTCGCCGAGAAAAAATGCACGTGTCCGAGCGATGCCACGAGGTAGTCCCAGCTGGCCTCAAAAGAGGCCCCCCGAGCAGCCTTGGGCGGTCTCAACACCCCGGCTCCGCGCCCCAGGGTTGTAGTGCTGAGTCCCGCCCACGACTGCTCGGGAGGTCTGTTGAGGCCAACCGGGACTTCCTTAGGCGAGGCTGTCTGTGGAACCACGGCGGCGAGGAGGTATGGCTGGGTCCGTTCCCCCCTCCTGCCCCTCCTGCTGCCCCCATGCCACCTCCCCGCTCCGCCGAGACGGCTGCCACGCATCCAAGCTACCCGAGGCGCCCCAGCATCCCCGAGGCCTCGTCGGCGACAGCCGCGGCGTCGGCGTTGCCGTCGCGGCTGCCGCGTCGGCGTCACCGCCGCCGTCGCCGCCGCCGCCGTCTTCGCAGCCACCGTCTTCGTCGCCGCCGTCTTCGTCGCCGCCGCCATCGGCGCCATCACCGTCATCGTCGCCGCCACCGTCGGCGCCGTCGCCGTTATCGTCGCCGCCGCAGTCGGTGCCCTGGCCGTCGCCATCGCCGCCGCTGCCGGCCGCAGCCACGGCGTCGGCGAGGCCGCCGCCACCGGCGGCAGAAGCCGCTGCGGGCAGGACGCGCCCCGAAAGGGCGGCGGCAGGGCGGCGGTGCGGCCTCAGCCGCCCCGAGGCGTGCCGCAGCGTCCCGCCGCGCGACGCCACCGCCGCGAGCACGTGGGGCCTCGTCGGCGGCGCGCGAAGGTCTCGCGGCCGCCGCCGCTGCCGCAAAGCCAACGTTTGCCTACGGTCGGGCCCAGGCCAGAAGAGCATCCCTCAAGAACAGGAGGCCCTCCGCCAGCCAAAGCACACGGAACAGCCAAGGGTACCCTCCCCAAGGATGCACGAGAGCATCCCACGAACACGAAGAACATGAGCGTAGCCTCCCCGAACCGACTTCGATCCGGCCTCGATCTGATACCTCAGTCAGACTACCTTCGGGGATTAGACATAGGGCGGAAGGGGGAGGGGGAGGGGGGGGGGTCTGGCCCCGGAACTCTGCTCAGTGCGACTGTTCGCAGCAGTGCGTCCTATGGGGGAGACACCACCCCTCCGCTCAAAACGACCCCCACCGCTGCCGTCGTCGTCGCCACCACGATCTGGGCGTTGCAATACTTGTCACGCTGAGCCTCTTCGCCCGGCCTCGGGCCCCCCGACCGCCACAGATCGACGCGGCTCGAGAGAGCTGCCGCAGGCAGATCGGCTCTGGGGCTCCAGTCGATGCTGCGAGCTGTTTCGCAGCGTCGGATCTCGGGTGTCGGATCTCGGAAACCCTGAACCCCAAAAACGTGTTCATCTCTTAGGGGCGCATCGTTTACTTCCGCCGCCTTCCGCCGACCTTCCGCCGACCTTCCGCCGCCTTCCGCCGAGGAAGAGATGGCAACTCCTTCGGCCCTCGAAGGCAAGCCCTTCTCTGGAACGCCTCAGGCATCGCCGTCCCCAATCGGCCGCGGCCATTGCCGTCGCCGCCGTCGACGCCGCCGTCGCCGCTGCCGTCGCCACCGCCGCCGCCGCCGATCAGGTCGTCGCCGCCGACGCCGTGGGCGCCGAACCTCGGCGCCAGAGGGGGGAGGAAGAGGGAGAGAGAGCGAGAGAGGGAAAGGAAGGCGAGGAATCGAGGGTCTGAGACTCGATTGGCCCTCGCGGAGCCTCCGGATGCCTCCGGGGGGTGCGAGGGGGGGAGAGTGAGCGAGTGGAGCACGGACGAGGGGGACGACGGCGAGGCTTTTTGTCAGAACGCAGCATGTCTGGACTCCCCTCCGGACCCGCTCCAGCGCGGCACGGCGGATAGCGCTGCCGCTCCGAGGGCCGAAGAACTTGTGCACCGCACCACTCCCAGATCGAGGATCGACGACGTCGCGGGGGACGCCCACGCGGCACGGCGCACACCAAGTCGGACACGGACTCGGGGTGTCGACATCGCTTGCGCCACGCAGCCTATGTCTCTTCTGGGGAATCCTCTGCGGTCCGCGCGCCGCGGCGGCGGCCCCTGCGATACGCTGCGCCCTGCGAGCGGATGGCGTGTCGCCCCGCTCCGCGGGAAGAGAGGCTTGCTGGGCCTGTTTTCCACCACCACCACCACCACAAGTTGGAGGGGGGAGGAGGTGGAGGAGGAGGAGGAGGAGGACCAGGAGGAGGAGGAGGAGGAGGAGGAGGAGGAGGAGGAGGAGAGGAGGAGGAGGAGGACCCCCCCCCTCCTCCTCCTGGTGGTGGCCGTGGAGGACAGGCCCACCGAGGCTGGGAAAAGCTCGCGGTGCTGCTGCCCGGGGGCTGGGACGTGGACGGCGTGCGGCGCCGCAGCGCGGCGGCGCCAGACCCCGCGGCACGCGACACGCGAAGCCAACGCTCCCGGCCGCAGGCCCTACGGAGGAAGCTGGGGAGGAGGAGGCAGGAGGAGGAGGAGGAGGAGGAGGAGAAAGAGGAGGAGGAGAAGGAGGAGGAAGAAGAAGAAGAAGAACAGGAGGATGATGATGATGATGAGGAGGAGGAGGAGAAAGAGGAGGAGTAGAAAGACGAAGAGGAGGATGGGGAGGAGGAGGAGAAGGAGAAGGAGGAGGAGGAGGAGGAGGAGCTCGGGGCGAAGCTCCACGGTGCGTTCTGTCCAGCATTTCGATGCGAGTCCAGCCTGGGCGACGAGGCCCTTCCAGAAGGCCCCACAAAAAGCCTAAGCGAGGCAAGGGCAGCGGCATCGGCACTCGCCAGTCGGAGGAAGTACGTGGAAACCAACAAAAATAGGAAGGTGGGTAAAGTTGATTGGGTTCGGGCCAGCCCACAACATGACCAAAGCAACATGAACACATGGATGATTGACGTAGGCATCACTTGAAGCAGGCTGGGATCCAGGGAAGCAAAAATACCTACCTTCAACAGTCGGCGCATACCGCTTCCTCCTCTGATCTACGCACCCCCAGGCCGCGGCTGGACTTGACAGTTCAGCCGGACTTTGGCCCTGCCTGACCGTCAACGCGCGGGCTCACGCGCCGTGGCTCTTCCGGACGGGGTCAGCGCGCCAGACGGCCATCGCTTCGAAGCTCCGCCTCGGCCTTCTACTCCTCTCTCCCCCCTCCTCCTCCTCCTCCTCCTCCTCCTCCTCCTCCTCCTCCTCCTCCTCCTCATCATCAGCATCATCATCATCATCATCATCATCATCATCATCATCATCATCATCATCATCATCATCATCATCATCATCATCATCATCATCATCATCATCATCATCATCATCATCATCATCATCATCCATCATCATCATCATCATCACATCATCATCATCATCATCATCATCATCATCATCATCATCATCATCATCATCCCCCCCCCACCCTCCTCCTCCTCCTCCTCCCTCCTCCTCCTCCTCCTCATCTCATCATCATCATCATCATCATCATCATCAGCTCATCATCAATCATCATCATCATCATCATCATCATCATCATCATCATCATCATCATCATTCTCCTCCTCTCACTCCTCATCCCTCCTCCTCCTCCTCATCCCTCCTCCTCCTCCTCCTCCTCCTCCTCCTCCTCCTCCTCCTGCTCCTCTCCCCTTATCCCTCCCTCCTGGGCTCGCCGCTTGGCTGAGATTCCCAAGGCCCCCCCTCCCGCAGGAGCTCGGAGGTCACGGGGCCGCGCGGCGTCGGCGCTGGTCAGCTGGCCGTCCAGGTCCACGATCACGTCTCCTCCTCAACCTCCTCCTCATCATCATCAGCGTCCTCCTCTTCGTCTTCTTCTCAGGATTATACTGTTTCTCAGTATTCCTCTTATACTGCTTCTCAGTGTATTGTTTCTCAGTATTCCTCTTATTGTTGCTGATAGTATGATTAGTCTGCGTATGTGTGTTAGTGTTCGTATTACAAGTCGTCTTAGTGCGATCAGCTTTAACACACACACACACATATCTCTATATATTTATGTATATATAAATTATATATATGATTGGCCGTGTTATCAGCCGTAGTCGCATGCCCTTCGTAATATTACGCATAGTACCACTAGTAATATTCATAGTAATAAGGGTACAAGAATCAAGTGTATTGTTCGTCGGATTAGTATGCGTCTGCTAAGTAGTAGTGGTCGTGTTCGTCTTCGTCTTACTATTATTGTTCGTCGGATTACGATTCGTATTCGCCGTATGCCTATTATTCTTCTGAGTATGGCTATTAAGCTTATGTGCAACATGGTATCATTGCGAATCGTATGTGTGTTACTACCAGTGTTAGTCGTAGTATTAGTCTTAGTTTTCTTATGAATGTTCGTATTAGTAGCCTTAGTCTTCTTATCAGTATTAGGGTCGTAGTACTATTACTAGTATCCGTTCGCATAGAAAAGATATGTCGCATTGATGGCGTGATGAATATAATCCTTATGAATCGTAGCATCCCTATGAGTATTCCTCCTCCTCCTCCTTCTGCTCCAACTCCTCCTCTTCCTCCTCCTCCTCTCCTCCTCCTCCTCTTCCTCCTCCTCATCCTCCTCCTCCCCTCCTCCTCCTCCTCCTCCTCTTCCTCCTCCTCCTCCTCCTCCTTTTCCTTCTCATCCTCCTCCATGTCCTCCTCCTCCTCCTCCTCCTCCTCCTACCCCGCTCTTCCCCTTCTCTCCTCCTCCTCCTCCTCCTCTCCCCTCTTCCTCCTCCTACTCCTACTCCTCCTCCTCCTCCTCCTCTCTCCTCCCTCCTCCCCCCTCCTCCTCCTCCCTTCCTCCCTCCTCCCTCCTCCCTCCCCCTCCTCCCTCCTCCCTCGTCTCCCTCTCTCCTCCTTCCTCCCGCCTCCCTCCTCCCTCCTCCCTCCTGCCTCCTCCCTTCTTCCTCCTCCCTCCTCCCATCTCCTCCTTCCTCCCCCTCCTCCCTCCCTTCCCCTCTCCTCCTCCTCCTCCTCCTCCTCCTCCTCCTCCTCCTCTCCTCCTCCTCCTCCTCCTCCTCCTCCTCCTCTCCTCCTCCTCCTCCTCCTCCTCCTCCTCCTCCTCCTCCTCCTCCTCCTCCTCCTCCTCCTCTCCTCCTCCTCTCTCCTCCTCCTCCTCCTCCTCCTCCTCCTCCTCTTTCTCCTCCTCATCCCCTCCTCCTCCTCCTCATCCTCCTCCTCCTTCTCCGCCCTATCCCTCTCTCCTGAGCTCGCCGCGGGGCTGAGATTCCCGGGGGCCCATCCATCAGGGAGGGCCCCACCTGCGAGCCGCCAGGGAGGGGGGGGGGGGTCGGCGCGACCGGGCGGGGCGGCGGGCGCCTGCTGTCTCGGAGGTCCTCGCCGAGCTCCGCCAGCACCCAGCCGTCGATCTGGCGGGGCGGAGGCCGCCGTAAATGGGAGTCCTCCTCCTCCTCCTCCTCCTCCTCCTCCTCCTCCTCCTCCTCCTCCCTCCTCCTCCTCCTCCCTCCTCCTCCTCCTCCTCCTTTCTTCCTTTGCCAAGCCATGAGGCGCAAAGCGGAGACGTTTCAGGAGAGTGGCTGCCGACACTGGAAGGACGATAGGCGGTGGCGGTAATGAGATATGACATGATCGTGGCAACAGGATGAGGAAGGGAAGGAAGACAGACCTGAGGCAGGGCCTTGCCCCTTCGCTTGGGGCAGTAGGAGCGTCCTGGACCCCAAGACAGTCGCGGCCGGCACTGTCTGGGGTATACTGGACGCCGGTACTGTCTGGGGTATTAGCTCCATGTCTCGCCCGCGCTCTCTACTCCAGCACAGTAGGCATACACGAGCCTCCAAGGCCTCTCAGCCTCCACCGTCCACCCAGTCAGGCTCAAACCACAGGGCCTGTCCGGCCCTGAGCTCGCAGGGGGCGATGGGGAGAGCAGGCACGAAAATCAAGAGAGAGAGGGGGTCATCCTCCTCATCCTCCTCCTCATCATCAGTATCAGCATCATCATCACACATCAGCATCAGCATCATCATCAACCATCACCAATCATCATCACCATCATCACCATCATCATCAACATCATCATCAGCATCAGCATCAGCATCATAATTCCTCCTCCTCCTCGTCATCAGCATCAGCATCATCATCACCATCATCATCGTCATCCTCATCCTCATCATCATCATCAGCATCAGCAGCAGCATCATCATCATAATCAGCATCACCAGCATCAGCATCAGCATTGTCAGCATCAGCATCAGCATCAGCATGGTCAGCATCAGCATCAGCATCGTTATCACCATCATCGGCATCATCATCAGCATCAGCATCAGCATCAGCATCAGCATCAGCATCAGCATCAGCATCATCATCATCATCATCATCATCATCATCATCATCATCATCATCATCATCATCATCATCATTCCTCGTCCTCCTCCACATTCCTTCTCCTCCACCTTCCTCCTCCTCCGCCTCCTCCCTTTCCCTCTCCCCTCTTCCCTCCTCCCCAGTCCCTCCTCACTCCTCCCTCTTCCCTCCCTCCTTGAGCACACGAGGTCAGGAGCCCATCGCTCCGCGCCGCCGACAGGCGCGAACCCCTAGACAGACCGTGCAGAGCGAGATCCCTGCCCGCGAGCTCCGTCACGCTGGCGTCCGGCAAGGCCGTGCGGGACGTGGCCGTCGTTTCGATCGTGGCCCTGGCAATGCGCTGCAAAGTTCTATGAACCACGTGTCCTCCCGAAGCGTGCTTGAGGCGTTCCCCTCCTCCTTCCCCCCCTTCTGCCCTCCTCCTCCTCCTTCCTCCTCCGCCCCCTCCACCCCCCGTCCTCCATTCCTGTTCCTCATATTTAACTCCTCCCGGTCGCATCCCGAGGGCGGTCGAAAGGGCGGGCCGAGCGTTTCGCCTGAGACTTCCTCACCACGTATGATTCTGAAGCTTGGAAGTTGCAATTGTCTTGATGGATGGAGGACGGCCCGCTTTCAAAATGTGGCTCTCGCCTCAGCGTCGCGCGCATTAGTCTTTAAACATTGCAAGCGCTTCACGGATAGAGTGCGGTCCGTTTTCAAAACTGTGGCTCTCGCTTTAGCACCGCGCGCATTCGTCTTAAAAGGTTGCAAGAGCTCGCGGATGGAGGGCGGATCCTTTCCAAAATGTGGCTAACGCCTTAGCGCCGCGCAAAGAGCTTGCAACAGTTTCAAGGATTCTCATGGCTGACGTCCCAGAAATAGTGTTTTGGCACGATGTCGAAACATCAGGGCGCAGCAGTCACGTTGATTCGCGGTGTTGAAGTCCCAGGAAAATGTGTTCTGGCACGGTTCGGGACCGTCAAGACGCAGTAGCAACGGTGATTCGCGGCGTTGAAATTCCAGAAATGGTGTGTTCTATCACACTCCCGGATGTTCGAACTTTTGTCTTCTAACAGGGCATTTCCCCCAGTGGGGACGAACATGTGTAGGAGCCTATAAAAAAAGGACTTGGAGGGAGGGCTTATTGCAATATTGTTGATGGGTCTTGGGTTTACACTGGCCCTCCTCCACCTCCTCTTCCTCCCTCCTCCCTCCGCCCTCCGCCCTCATCCCTCGCGCAACACGGGCTCCTAGGCTCTTGTCGCTGTTTCTCTTGCGCGTCAACCCCCTTCCTCTCAATTAGTTCCCAGACCGTTCCCTCGGCCAGTCCCAGGGATACCGCGTGGGGCGCGGCGAGGCCCGCGTCACGCCCAAGCGACGGGAGGTGTTTCTGCCTTCGTCCTGGCACTCGGGGGCAAGGATCGCAGCCAACGTTTGCATCAGCGGCGCGCAGCCGCAGTGCCCATCTCGATGCCAACAACAAGTTAGAGGCTCGTTCCGGGGACTTTTCCTGGAGCCAAGAGCTCCACTCATGCGTCGATGCTGCGTCGAAAGTCCACAGACCTGAGTCGAATTTGAGTCGAACTAAAGACCAGGCCAAGGCGCACAGCGAGGTGGACACGCAGACCTTCTTGACCAGGATGCGTGAAGTGGCCCTGGGGCTCGTGCAGTGGCTTGAGCACATATACCCCATTGAGATGCCCACGCTGGTCTTTCACAGGGGGATGACCATCGACAGCGCGGCGTGCGGGCAGCAGGGTTGCCCTCTCATCGGGACGTGTCACGCACTGGCCCAATAAGATGTTACACGAGTTGCTCGATTCCATGCTGGTGCCAGACGGCACTGCCGTGCAACTGCCTGTTCTGAGTCCCCCTGTCGCCGTCGATACGGCCCCTGGCTTTGCCGACGATGCGCTCGTCACGGGACCTCTGCAGAGGTGCTCTGGGCCTTGCAGCACCTTAAAGCGGTGATGCATGCGACGTGCCTTCGCTTCTCTACATTGCCGGAAGTCCTGGCCGCGGGCACCCGAAGCACCCTTGACTTCTCAGACTCTGTGGCGTTGGGGTGCGGCGTCCTCTCAGATGCGAACTGCGAGTGTGCGGTGGGGCGCGCTGCAGAGCCTTCTGCGCGAAACAGGAGCAGAAGCAGCAGGGCATCATTCAGTGCCTGGCCGACCCCGGAGACCCGCAGGTCAAGAACTGTGGGTACCGCGCGGATGCTGGAAGGATGAACTGCCTGACTGCCTTGCTCGCAAGAGCAGGCCAGGTACGTGGGGGACGAGGCGCGGCGTCACGACCAGAGCGTGCTTGAGGCAGCGGCTGCCGCCGTGAAGCAGTGGGAACCGCGCGTATTTGAACTGACGCACCTGTGCCCTATGGCATGGGCATTCACAGAAACGCCAGGGGACAACGCATTGTCATGAAAACCATATATTTGGGCATGGGCCGCCACTTGCCACTAAGTGGTGGACCAACATGATACAGCATAGTGGGCGTGATGTTCCTGGCCCCGGCCCGGCGTTGGTCTGACAGGCAGCGCGAGCAGGCGTCCTTCGTGACCTCGGCCGGCGGGCTCGGTCTGTAGCAGATCTCCGTCGAGATGGTCGCGGCATACGCGGGCTCGCGCTCGCTGACGCACGGCCTGTGCGAGAAGGTCTGGCTGGGCCCCAAGTGAGACGACAACGTCGCTGGAACCTCGCTGGCGGACGCAGTCTCGAGACCCGCGGCCACCGCTGAGGCGGTGGTCGTCGCGGACGATTCACGAGACGCGTTGACCCAGGCGCACATCGAGGGGGCGCTGCGGACGAAAGCTGTGGCCGCGTGGAGAGATGCGGGAGCACCAGCAGACAGATCGTGGCTGAGGCGTGTAATCTGCGCAGGGAGCGGGTGCTCTGCACAAGCTGACCCCATCCAAGACACTTGCTATGCAAGTCACTGCGAGCCAGCTCGCCGACAAGAACGTCTCGCTCCACCTCGGTGTCGACGTCTTGGGAGCAGGGACCACCTGGCCTTTGCGCGGAGTGGCCCTAAACGCTCAGGGGATCTGCTGCCTCTCCTACAGGGGCCCTGAGATCACGGGCACGCGCCACGCCCTTCGCGACGTCTTCTGCCGCTGCGCGTGCCGAGGCGGACCGCGACCGCAGCCAGAGGCCCCAGGCTTGCTCCAGCAGGAGGGGCGGGAGGCGCCGCCGGACGACCGCAGGCCAGCCGATGCCCTCGTGACTCCGCACCTGGCGCTGGCGACGCACCTCCACGACGGCAGCCGCGCCGACCCAGCGGAGCAGGTGTGGCCGTCGCCCTGCGCGGGCATCGGCGCGCTGGGCCCCCGCCGCTGGGCGGACACCGCGCCGGCCGCAGGGATCCCGCCCGAGATGTCGAGGAGACGCGCGGGCGGGACCAGGCCGAGGGGAGGCGCCGCGCCCAGGGCCCGGCCCTCTGGCGGCCGGTGGTCGGGAAACCCTAAGGTATACCGATACCGCCTCCCCCTTGGACCTCGCCCCGGGGTGCGTTCTGACCACGATGTCGAAGGGAGTCCAGCGGCGGCGGCGAGGGCCTCCCAGGAGGCCCCAAAAATGAAAACGGGCGAGGGGGTAGAGGTGTGGGTACCGTCGCCTCCTCCGAGGCATGAGAAAGGGCGCGGGCGCGGCTTTTCCTGGCAATCGCAGCTGCGGCAGCCAGGAAGGAGGGGCCGGAGCCGTCAACCGTGAGACGGGAAAGGCTCCCTCCACCGCGCGGCGCTCCTCCTCGCCCGCGGCTGCGTCGCGCGGGTCGAGCGAGACGGCGGGTCGAAGAAGTCCGTGCAGGGCGAGCCGCTCCGGTAGCGGCGGCGACGCCCGCCACGCGCGAGCCCGCGCAGCGCGACGCCGAGGGAGAGGCAACGCGGCCTGCGCGCCCGGACGGGCTGGCAGCCGCGTAAGCTGCGTCTCCTCCTCCTCCTCCTCCTCCTCCTCCTCCTCCTCCTCCTCCTCCTCATCCTCATCCTCATCCTCCTCCTCCTCCTTTTCCGCCTCCCCCCCACCGCCCCCCCGCCTCTGCTCCTCATCTCCTCCTCCTCTGCTGCTGTTGCCCTCTTCGCCTCCTCCTCACTCCTGCCTCCTCCTCCTCCTCCTCCTTTCCGCCTCCTCCTCCTCCTGCTGCTCCGCCTCCTCATCCTCCTCCTCTTCCTCCTCCTCCTCTCCCCTCCTCTTCAATCCTCCTCCCTCCTCTTCCTCATCTCCCCCTCCACCTCCTCCTCCCAGCGCGCGCGCGCGGCTTTCCGTTCGCAGATGATTACAAAGGGGGAGGTGTTTTTTTTTTTTTGCTGGTGTACATGCGGGGGCCTCGATTGCCGCACAGGCCGGCATTGGGGTGTACCAGCGTGGGTTGGCCAGCTTCTCCTCCTCCGCCTCCGCCTCCTCCTCTCATCCCTTGGCCCGCGCGCGCTTGCGGAGCCCCTTGTGGCCATCAGTTGGGCAGCTGGCAGTGTTGATCGACAACTACTGTGCGAACATTCGCTTGTTGCGTACGCGATGGTACGCGCGGGGCTAAGGTTGCCGTTGCTGCCCCCCCCCCGCTCGTGTTGCGCTCCTCCCCTCTCTCCCGGCTCCCGTTGCCGCTCGCCTCCGCCTCGCTTGCTCTTCCTCGCGGGTCCCTCTCCGCCCGGGGGGCGCGAAACCCAGTGCGCCGAGCGACCACCCCGGAGGTCTCAGTCAGGGGCAGTTCGCCCGCAGATTCGTCGAAGCTTGGACGTGTTCCCTTACTGCGCCGACGCCGTGGCCTGGCTGCTGCCACGGCCCCCGCTGCCGCTGCTGGCCGCACCGGCGCGCTCAGTGTGGAACCGTTCCGCCTCTGAATGCACTCCGCCTGCTCCCGTCCTCCGCGGCCGCCCTGTCTGTCTTGTCCCTCCCCTCCTGCACGACGGCCAATTCGCGCTTCGGTCGCCCCGATCGCTCACCACTGGAGCAACTCTTCTGCCTCGCCGCCGACGGAAAAGTTCCCTTGCCACTCACTCAGCTCCAGTACTTGCGTTGCTTTGTTGGAGGCAGCACGCGCTGTCGGGCTGCTCTGCTGCTGTCGGTTGCGAACCGCCCCCCTCTCTGGAGCCGATGTTAGACCATCTTCCAGACTATATCACGGAGAACAAGCAAGAAGGGGCCGAAAGCGGGCAACCTTGGGGGGGATTCAAGTCATGCCATCCGAGGGGGGTCAAAGCAGGCCCGCCCGAGGGGCGCACAAGAGGCTCCAAGAGGCACCCAAGAGGTCCCCAAGAGGTCCCCAAGACGCCCAGAGAGGCTCTGAAGGCCGCCGAGAGGCCCCCAAGACGTCCAACAAGACCCCCAAGAGGACCCCAAGCCGCCCCAAGAGGACCCCAAGAGGGCCCCAAGAGCCCAAGAGCCGCCAGGAGTCACTCAAGACGCCCCCCATGAGGCCTCAAAGAGATACCGAGAGACATCCGAAGAGACTACGAAATGCATCCAAAGAACGTCTGGCCCACGAAGACCCCCCGCGCTTTCCGAATGATGTCACGCTCTCACGACAAGGGCAACTCCCCTGGGCATCGTTCTGCATGAGCTGGTGCTCTTCCTGCTACGCCGTTGCACAGGCACGGTGGCGGGGCTTGCCGCAGACAGCTGCGTAAGAAAACATGTTCCTCCTCCTCCTCCTCCTCCTCCTCCTCCTCCTCCTCCTCCTCCTCCTCCTCGTACCCCCTCCTTCTCCTCCTCCTCCTCCTACCTCCCCCTCCTCCTTCCTCCTCCTCCTTCTCCTCCCCCTCATCCTCCTGCTCCTCCCTCCTCCTCCTCCTCCTCCTCCTTCTCCTCCTCTCTCCTCCTCTCCTCCTCCTCCTCCTCTCTCTCTTCCCCCATCCTTCTCCTCCTTCCCTCCTCCTCCTCCTCCTCCTCCTCCTCCGCCTCCGCCTCCCCCTCCTCTTTCCTTCCTCCTCCTCCTCGACCTCCTCCCTCCTCCTCCTCCTCCTCCTCCTCCTCTCCTCCTCCTCCTCAATCATCCATCATCATCATCATCATCATCATCATCATCATCATCATCATCATCACATCATCATCAACATCATCATCATCATCATCATCATCATCATCATCAATCATCATCATCATCATCATCATCATCATCATCATCATCCGCCTCCTCCTACGCTCCTCCTCCTCCTCCTCCTCCTCCACTCCTCCTGCTCCTTCTCCTTCTCGCTCGCTCGCTCCTCCTCCTCCTCCTCCTCCTCCCTCCGCCTCCTCCTCCTCCCTCTCCTCCTCCTCCTCCTCCTCCTCCTCCTCCTCCTCCTCCTCTCCCCTAGGAGGTGGGGGGGGGGCCTGTAAGGCCCTCAGGAGGAACTGCGCGTCCGACCGGACGCGCGACGCCACATGCGCCAGCGCCCCCGCGCCACACCGCCCCAGCGCGGCGAGGGCGAACGCCTCGTCGTCCCTCAGGGCCTGCGGAAGGGGCGCCTGCTCGATCTCCTCCTCCTCCTCCTCCCCTTCCTCCTCCTCTTCCTCCTCCTCCCGGGGGCACTTGGGGGAGAGGGGGAGGAAAGCGAGGAGAGGGAGGAGGAGGAGGAGGAGGAGGAGGAGGAGGAGGAGGAGGAGGAGGAGGAGGAGGAGGAGAAGAAGAAGAAAGAAGAAAAAGAGAAGGGGAAGAGAGGGGAAGGGAGGAGGAGAGGAGGATGAGGAGAGGAGGAGGAGGAGGAGGAGGGAGGAGGAGTAGAGTAGGAGGAGGAGTAGTGGAGGAGGAGGAGGGAGGAGGAGGAGGGTAAGGGAATGGAGGAAGGGAGAAGAGAGGGAGGAGAATAGAGAAGGAAAATAACAAGGGGAGGGGAGGGGAGGAAGGAAGAAGGAGAGGGGAGGAGAATGAGGGGGAGGAGAAAGAGGAGGGGGATGAGGAGAGGGGAAAAGGGGAGGAGGAAGGGTGGTGGAGGAGAAGGAGGGGGAGGAGAAAGAGGAGGGGGAGGAGGAGAGGGGAAGGAGAAGGAGGAAGGGCGGGAGAGAGAAGATGGAGAGAGGCTGGGGGCGGCGCGGGGGGATGACAAGTTGCAACCCCCACCCCCCCCGCACCTCCGCGGCGTGCGCCAGGGCAGAGACGTCCTTGGAAGCCGCGGCGAGCATGAACGCCGAGTCGCTCAGCAGCTCCTGCCGTCGCAACGTGACCTTCGCCCTGCACGTCGTCGTCGTCACGTTCGTGCGCAACGTTATCCATCCAACCCCTCCCCCTCCTCCTCAACCTCGTCCTCCACCTAGTCGCCCAGTCCTTCTCAGGCTCATCCTCCTCCTCATCATCATCATCCTGCTCTCCCTCCTCCTCCTCCTTTTGCGTTGCGGCGCCTACTGCTCCCTTTCTTCCGCGGGGCTGGCGTCTGCCTCCTGCTTCCTCCTCATCCTCCCTCCTCGTCTTCCTCCTCTTCCTCCTCTCCTCCTCTGCCTCATCCTCCTCCTCCTCCTCCTCCTCCTCCTCCTCCTCCTCCTCCTCCCCCTCCTCCTCCTCCTCCTCCTCCTCCTGCTCCTCCTACTCCCCCTGCTCCTCCTCTCAATCATCACCAGACTCATCGTCCTCCTGCTGGTCCTCCTACTCTTCCTAATAGTCCAAAAATAGTCTGGGGACTATTTTGGGGGTACTTCTTTGGCCTTTTTGGAGCATATATTTTTTTGTATGTTTTCGATTTTTCGTCGAAAATCCCCCTGTAGGGGGACACGCCCGACAGAAGCCGAGAGGGACAGGCAGGGCAAGGCGCCGGTGTTCGTCCTGGGGGGGGGGCGGCCCTCGAAGAGCTCGGCGGGGGCACCGGAGTGCCGAAGTGCCGCAGAATCCGGAATGCGGACACGATGCTGATGTCTCAGTGCACGATGCTTCAATCCGGAATGAGAGTCACTGGCGCCATTGAACCAACCCTTCCCCTGAGTTTGATGATGGAGCGTTTGATAATGGGCAGTGGGAGGAGGAAGGATGGAGGGAGTGAGACCCTGGTTGACCCAACAGGGGTCCAGCGACAAGGGGGTGGTGCAATAGGTTTGGTGCAATAGAGTTGCGGGGTTGCAATAGGTTTGGGGCGTGCAGCATACTTCTGGTGCGCAGAGGAATGGCTGGACTTTCGCCTGCAATACGTTACTTGCGATACAATGCAATACAATGAATTCTCTGGCGCGAAACATTTGCAAAACGATTGCCCCACATCGATTGCACCACCCCATTTCAGCTAGACCCCCTTTGGGGTCACGAGGAGAGACGCGCAGCACCGCGGAGCAAAGAAGGACCCGACAACGCTTCGTCTGCTTCTCCACGGCAGCACGCTTCGATGTCTTCAATCGGTCCAGGCCGCCTGGCGAGTGGACGAACGTCCGCAGAGAGAAACGAATACCTCGCGAGCATAGACCGCACCCTCCGAGGACTAATGGGGGTGGCTCCGGCACAGGGCGCCCTCACGAGCCTAGAAGAGACGGTTCAGAGCAGAGCCGTCCACCAAGACAGATGGGGCCGAGTCGGTGGGCAAGCTCGGAGTGCCAAGGTTGCCAGCGCAGCGCAGGGTAACAAGGGTAAGGGGAAGAACAAGAAGAAGAGGAAGAAGAAGAAGAAGAAGAAGGGAAACGCCTAACAACATGCTCTGGTCGCAGCGTCGGCCAACGCGCACGGGGCAGACGCAGGGAAGCACCCAGCAGCATGCCCTGGTCGCAGCGCCGGCAAAAAAGAGCGCACTACGCCCGCGGCTGACGTGGGGGCGCCACCAGGCGAGCTGAAGCTGGAAGCGTTCGGGTCGGGCGAAAGGGGGGGATAGCAAAGGGGGGGTTTGAGAATCAGCTCACGTAGCTGATTTTCCCGGCGCCTCCCGGCGCCGGAGGCGGCTATGTATCGAGGAATGGGCCCCTCGGTGAGGCCGAAACCAGCTGCATGCAGCAAATTTCGTAACCCCCCCTTTCCCGATCCCCCCCGTTCGCCCGGCCCGAGTGCCCTAGGGGGGGGGCGGAGGGGAAGACGAGGGCGCTTCCGCAGAGGAGGCGAGGAGGCACCCCGGCGCACGCAGGCCGCGAGGGCCGCGCCGTGCGCTGCTGCGCGGCGGCCGCACGCTGCGGAGCTGCCGCCGCGCCGCGCGCGCTCGGCGCGCCCAGGCGGACAGCGCCGGGGCGCGGCGGCAGGCCCGCGGCGGGCTCGGCGCCCAGGTCGGCGTGCGGAGTCTGGCTCGGGGGCCGAAGCGCCCCCCGCCGAGACGGGAAGCCGCGCGTCGGGGCAGAGGGCGCGGGGACGTAGGGTGAGGGCACTGACTGCGGAGCCGCGGGGTGCTCCCACCGCCGAGTGGCCACGGGCGCCACCGCCGCCCTCGTCGGAGGAGGAGCCCTCCAGGGTCCGGGAGCCTCCGGGGCACCTTGGAGGAGCGTCACCCGTCGTAGAGCAGCACAGAGCGGCACAGGCACAGACTTCCGGGAGGCAGGTGCGGGGCGCCTGGATTCGCGCAGACTCCGCCCCTCCTCGGCGCAGGAGACGCCGCTGGAGCGGCCCAGCGCATATCCAAGGAATCTGAGAGGACCTGCGAAACACACATACATAAATGGAAGAGCAAAGAAGTAAAGCCAGACATACAGCTTGCACATTCAGACATGCATACATTCCTGTATGCATACATGCATGTATACACACATACATAGATGCACGCATACCTACATATGAGCGTATAGGTGTACATACACACACACACATACATGCATACATATATACATACATGCATGCATGCATGCATGCATGCATACATACTTACATACATACACACATGCATACATACATACATACATACATACATACATACATACATACATACATACATACATACATACACACATACATTCATACATACATACGTACATACGTACGTACGTACGTACCTACATACATGCATGCATACATACGCACATACACACATATATATATATATACACACAAATGCAAACATACAAACAAGCATGCATACATGCATGCACATACACAAACACTCAGACCGACATGCAGGCACACATGCATACATACATACATGCATACATGCAGACATACATGCATACAAGTATGCATATATAATATATATATATGTATATATATATGTGTATGTGCATACACGCATGCATGCATACGCGTATAAATTCAAACATGCATGTATACAGGCATGCATGCATGCACATACATGCATGCAGGCATATATCGAGCCGCGGGGGGGCCACACGCATTCTCTGTTTGTCAGCAGCGAGGGCGGACGCCGACGCGCTCGGAGAGCCCGCCCGCGGGCCGCGCTGGAACCCCAGGGCACCCGGAGGCTACGAGGTCGGCCGCGGAGGAGGAATGCGAAGGGAGGCCTCGAGCGCAGAGAAGCTTCGCCACGAGGAGGGCGCAGGCGGCCTCTGTGAGGAGCCGAGCTCTGTACACCGACGTGTTTCCCGGCCCCGCGCCGCAACTCGCACAGGAGAGCGGATCCTGGTGTATTATGGGATCCCGTTGCACACGCTGTGCGCTGCTTCCCCGGGGCCACGGAGAAGAGAGTCAGAGTGAGGGGGCCGAACGGTCATTCATTGTCCCTGGGTGCGTGGCTGAAGTGAGATTCCGCGGTGCGGATTCGTGTTGTTGTGGTTGTTGTTGTTTGTTGTTGTTTGTTGTTGTTGTTGTTGTTGTTGTTGTTGTTGTTGTTGTTGTTGTTGCTGTTGCTGTTGCTGTTGTTGTTTGTTGTTGTTTGTTGTCGTCGTCCCACCCGCAACCCGCCCCGCGACCCACCCGCGACCCACCCCGCGACCCACCCTGCGACCCACCCTGCGACCCACCCGCGACCCACCCGCGACCCACCCCGCGACCCACCCCGCGACCCACCCCGCGACCCACCCTGCGACCCACCCTGCGACCCACCCGCGACCCACCCGCGACCCACCCCGCGACCCACCCCGCGGCCCACCCCGCGACCCACCCGCGACCCACCCGCGACCCACCCCGCGACCCACCCGCGACCCACCCACGACCAACCCCGCGACCCACCCGCGACCCACCTTCGACCCAAACCACGTTCAGGGTACAAACCAACATTTTTGGCGCCTGCGGCGGGCTTTTTTGCATTCCTTCCAGGTGGAGAGCCCGCGACCCACCCCGCGACCAACTCGCGACCAACCCGCGACCCAAACCACGTTCAGGGGGGTACAAACCACATTTTTCGGCGCCTGCGGCAGGCATCTTTTGCATTCGTTCTAGGTAGAGAAACCGCGGCCCACCCGCGACCACGTTCAGGGTACAATCAAGATTTTTCGGCGCCTGCGGCGGGCATCTTTTGCATTCGTTCCCGGTGGAGAACCCGCGGCCAACCCGCGACCCAAACCACGTTCAGTGTACAAACCAATTTTTTCGGCGCCTGCGGCGGGCTGCTTTTGCAGGAGGACGAGGAAGAGGAGGAGGAGGAGGAGGAGGAGGAGGAGGAGGAGGAGGAGGAGGAGGAGGCGGAGAGGAGGCGGAGGAGCAGGAGGAGGAGGAGCAGCAGGAGGAGGAGGAGAGGAGCAGCAGGAGGAGGAGGAGGGGAGGAGGGGAGGAGCAGCAGGAGGGGAAGGACGGAGGAGCGAGGATGAGGAGGAGGGAGGGAGGGGGACGACGGACGTGACGTCGACGACGACGGCGACGCCCCCCTCCCCCCCCCCCCCCCGACGACGACGACGAAAAGGAGGAGTGTGGAGGATCGGGAGGGGGGGAAGAGGAGGAGGACGACGAGGAGGAACATGACGACAATGGGAGGACGATGATGGAAGGACGAGGGGGGGAGAGGGAGGACGAGGAAGAAGCGGAGGAGGAGGAGGACGAGGTGGAGGAGGAGGACGACGATGACGATGAGAACGAGGACGAGGACGAGGAAGAGGAGTAGGAGGCGGAGGAGGAGGAGGAGGAGGAAGAGGAGGAGGAGGAGAAGGAGGAGGAGGAGGAGAGCGCCATCGACAAGGAAGGTGGGGGCCACGAGGTCCGCCGGCTTGACGACGCCCGCGTCGCCCGCGCCCGCCCCCTCACTCTTATCCGCAATTGCGGGGTGCTATATATTCGCCGCACCACCCCGAAGTCGTCCCCGACCCTCCAAAAGTCCTGGGATCGAGAAGTGGCCCGCCACTGGTAATGTCTATGTTCCAGTTTCCGACTCTGGCACTGGAACCCAGTGGACTAGAGGGTGTGCGGCCAAACGAGCTGATGCAGGGGAGGCAGCGCCGATCCCACTGGAGAGACAAGGCGTCATCCGCTGGAGGGCAAGCAGAGTGCCTGTGCTGGGCCAAGACCGTCGGCGGTAGACGTCAAGGGTGCCGGGCTTCCCGGAGGGCGCTACGGTCGGGAACTTTTGCTTAGCGGGTCGCGGCAGCGGCCCCGGCGACACACTATGCCCTGCGAGTGGAAAGCGTTTCGCTCCGCTCCGCGGTTCGGGAGGCTGGGAAAGGCTCGGGACGTTGACGCTTGGGACTGATGACGTTGAAGGGGCCCACAAACACACAAATAAATATATAGCACCCCGCAATTGCGGATAAGAGTGAGGGGGCGGGCGCGGGCGACGCGGGCGTCGTCAAGCCGGCGGACCTCGTGGCCCCCACCTTCCTTGTCGATGGCGCTCTCCTCCTCCTCCTCCTCCTCCTCCTCTTCCTCCTCCTCCGCCTCCTACTCCTCCTCCTCTTCCTCGTCCTCGTCCTCGTTCTCATCGTCATCGTCGTCCTCCTCCTCCACCTCGTCCTCCTCCTCCTCCTCCGCTTCTTCCTCGTCCTCGCTCTCCCCCCCTCGTCCTTCCATCATCGTCCTCCCATTGTCGTCATGTTCCTCCTCGTCGTACTTCTCCTTTTCCCCCCTCCCGATCCTCCACCCTCCTCCTTTTCGTCGTCGTCGTCGTCGACGTCATCGTCGTCGTCCCCTCCCTCCTCCTCCTCCTCCTCCTCCTGCTGCTCCTCCTCCTCCTGCTGCTCCTGCTGCTGCTCCTCCTCCTCCTCCTCCTCCTCCTCCTCCTCCTCCTCCCCCTCCTCGTCCTCCTGCAAAAGCAGCCCGCCGCAGGCGCCGAAAAAATTGGTTTGTACACTGAACGTGGTTTGGGTCGCGGGTGGGCCGCGGGTTCTCCACCGGGAACGAATGCAAAAGATGCTCGCCGCAGGCGCCGAAACAATTGGTTTGTACCCTGAACGTGGTCGCGGGTGGGCCGCGGTCTCTCCACCTAGAACGATTCAAAAGATGCCCGCCGCAGGCGCCTAAAAATGTGGTTTGTACCCTGAACGTGGTTTGGGTCGCGGGTTGGTCGCGAGTTGATCGCGGGGTGGGTCGCGGGCTCTCCACCTGGAAGGAATGCAAAAAAAGCCCGCCGCAGGCGCCGAAAATGTTGGTTTGTACCTTGAACGTGGTTTGGGTCGAAGGTGGGTCGCGGGTGGGTCGCGGGGTGGAATCGCGGGTGGGTCGCGGGTGGGTCGCGGGTGGGTCGCGGGTGGGTCGCGGGGTGGGCCGCGGGCGGGTCGCGGGGTGGGTCGCGGGTGGGTCGCGGGTGGGTCGCGGGTGGGCCGCGGGGTGGGCCGCAGGGTGGGTCGCGGGTGGGTCGCGGGTGGGTCGCAGGGTGGGTCGCGGGGTGGGTCGCGGGGTGGGTCGCGGGGTGGGTCGCGGGGTGGGTCGCGGGTGGGTCGCGGGTGGGTCGCGGGTGGGTCGCGGGTGGGTCGCGGGGTGGGTCGCGGGTGGGTCGCGGGCGGGTTGCGGGTGGGACGACGACAACAAACAACAACAACAACAACAACAACAACAACAACAACAACAACAACAACCAACAACCAACAACCAACAACCAACAACCAACAACCAACAACCAACAACCAACAACCAACAACCAACAACCAACAACCAACAACCAACAACCACCACCAACAACAACAACAACAACAACAACAACAACAACACGAATCCGCACCGCGGAATCTCACTTCAGCCACGCACCCAGGGACAATGAATGACCGTTCGGCCCCCTCACTCTGACATACAAATCCCAGGATTCCACATATGTTCACATATTTTCTGGGTTTCTGTCTCCCCCCCACACACTTCCTCTATTTTCGCAAATTTTCCGGGGAATCGACGATTAATTGTGTCTGCGTGCTTTTTTCCCTCCTGAGACGTGGATGGCGTGTCGCGCCGAAGCGTGATGGAACAGAACCGGCTGCGCGACACGCTGAGCCAAAATTCCCGACCGCAGGCGTTGCTGGGGCCTCGGAGCCGACGGCAAGCAAAGGAGGGCTGGGAGAGACCGCCCTGGTCCGCCCCCGCAGCGCCGACGAGCGACGGCGGCGGCGAGCCCCCGACCGGGCTCCGGCGACGCGTGCCGCAGCACGCCGCTGGGGGGCTGCGGCGCCCCTGGGCGGCGTCACTACTGGCGAGGGCCCCCAGCCGGCGAGGCCGCTGTCACCGCGGAAAGCACACCGCCGTCGTGGTCGTGGTCGTGGTCGTGGTCGTGGTCGTGGTCGTGGTCGTGGTCGTGGTCGTGGTCGTGGTCGTGGTCGTGGTCGTGGTTGTGGTCGTCGTCGTCGTCCTCGTCCTCGTCGTCGTCGTCGTCGTCGTCGCCGTCGCCGTCGTGGTCGTGGTCGCGGTCATCGTGGTTTCTCGCCGTGGTCGTCGTTGTGGTGGTCGTCGGCGCCGTTGTCGAGTCGCCGTCACTGCCACTGTCGCCGGCGTCGTCGTCGTCGCCGTCGTCGGGATCGCCGTCGTCGTGGTCGCCGTCGTCGGGATCGTCGCAGTCGTCGGGATCGAAGCCGTCGTCGGGATCGTGGTAGTTTTCATCATCGTCATGGTCGTCGTCCTGGTTGTTGTCGTTGCCACCGACGTTGGCTTCGCTTGCAGAGCACACGGAGGAGGTACGATCATATTTGTCGTCTTCGTCGTCATGTTCGTCGTCAACATCCTCCTTCTCTTCCTCCTCGTCCTCATCATCATCCTCAGAAACATCATCATCATCATCATCATCATCATCATCATCATCATCATCATCATCTTCATCATCATCATCATCAGCATCAGTATCAGCATCAGCATCATCATCAAAAACATCAGCATCATCATATACTTCTTCTTCATCAATATCACCATCACCATCACTGTCACAATCACAATCAGCATCATCAGCATCATCATCAGCATCATCAGCATCATCAGCATCATCATCATCATAATCATCATAATCATCATCATCATCATCATCATCATCATCATCATAGGCATCATCATCATCATCATCATCATCATCATCATCATCATCATCATCATCACCATCACCATCACCATCACCATCACCATCACCACCACCACCACCACCACCACCACCGTCATCATTCGCTCCCCTCTCCGGATAGTGCATCGCAGCATTTCTGGTACATCCTGGGCTTGATCTCTGGCCTTCTTCTCTTTGTCATGTACGCTATCACGGAGCTCGGCCAAAGAAGATGCAGCAGCCGATGACGGCGACGACGACGCCGACCCTGGGCGACCCCGACAACCACTACTACCTCCGACGACGACGACGACCACCACCACCACGACGACGACGACCACCGCAACGACGGCTACATTCCGCCGACCCCTTGGGGATCATCGGCGTGTGAGATGCTTCCCCCTCCCCAAACCCCTCCCCCCGTAGCCCGGTCCGGTCGATTTGGAGGGGGGGGGGCCGTCCGGCCAGAGCTCACTAGGGGGGTCCGGCCCTTCCCGGGCCCCTTTTGGAGGTCCACGACAGCTCCTGGGGCCGCCCAAGAAAGCCCGGAGACGCCGAAAGATCGTTCCAAGACGCCTAACATTGGCCGAAGACGGCCCAAGAGGCCGCCAAGACGTTCGAAGAGGCCTCCCAAGAGGCGTCCAAGAGGCCAACATCTTTTCAAATTCCGTAGGGGAAACGTGCATTTCTAGCACATACGATTTGTCCGCCTTCACAGCGCGGAAGCCCTTCCAAGATGCCTCCAAGACCGCCCTAAGACGGCCCCATATGATCCAAAGAAGCCCACATTCCAGCTGTCCGCCCTTAGAGGCTCCCAGGAGGCAACAAGAGGCTCCAAAAAGGCGTCCAGACGCCCCCAAAAGGCCCCCAGGAGGCCCCAAGAGGCACCCCAGAGGCCTCCAAGAGGCCCCGAGGGGCCCCAAGAGGCCCCCAAGAGGCCTCCAAGAGGCTTCCCCAAAAGACCCCAAGCACAAAGAGCGAACAATATATTTTCAGCAGGTTCGCCTTTTGACACCAGGAGGGCTCCAAGACGGCGAAAGGACCACCAGGAGAGCTCCAAGACGGACAGAGAGACTCCCAGTCAGCCGGACGGAGAACCGGAACGGACACTTCGAACCTTCGGCTCCAAGACGCCCCCAACGTGCCCCAGGGACTCCCAGGATGCCCCCCCAAAAAACAAAGGGGTCGGCGGCGTGGCGCAAGCATAAGAATCACGACGACAACCACCCTCACGACGACGGCAACCACCACCGCGACGACGACGGACGACCCGATGGCGACGACGTCGACCACCACCACCAACATGACAACGATGACGACAAAGACGACGACGACGACGGGCACCACCACCACCACCACCACACCGACAGCCACGACGGACGACGGGCGGACGGAGGACGACGAAGAGAGCGGACCCGACGACGACCGACGGCGGCGGCGGCGCCGCCTGCAAGGCCGCTCCCCATCGCGGCCAGCACCACGCCGGCGTCCCCCCTCGCCGGAGCGGGCGCGCACGTGCGTCGGCCGTTGTCGTCGTCGTCGTCGCCACCGCCGCCATCGCCGCCGCCGCCCCCGTCGCCGTCACCGCCGTGGTCGCGGTCAGAGTCTTCCGCGAAGTCGCCACAAGCACCGTCGCCGTGCTCCTGGTCCTCCTCCTCCTCCTCCTCCTCCTCCTCCTCCTCCTCCTCCTCCTCCTCCGCCTCCACCTCGCCCCTCCCTCTCTGGAAGGCGAGAAGAAGGAGCAGGAGGAGCAAGAGGACAGCGAGCTGTAGGAAAACACGATCCACGCGTTCCTACAAGTGGTTTGCCCACGAGCCGCGCTTTCCTGCAATTGGATTCTACGCTTCGCCGTTAGCTAACACACCGTTAACGCGTCTACGGCTTCAGCTCAGCGACCTGGCCCCTGAGCGTCTGCATGGCGACTGGGGAGGCGAGGGGCACTGCACTGATGGATACTTCGGTATCCTGGCTCACCGAGATCCACCAGTGCAGTAACCCTCGCCTGCCCGGTCGCCATGGAGACGCTCGGGGGCCAGATCGCTGAGCCGAAGGATCTCCGGGGGCGCACGAGGCGGCCCCGATGGTGGTGAACCAAGGCATTGGCACCACCCGAGAAACAGAAGCAGAAGGAGGAAAAACTTAATAAACTTCCACTTTGGGCGCTCCACGCGGGAGTTCTTGGATCCGCGCCAGGGGCGGCGCCTGAGGCGCCGCCAGGGGGGGCCCCAGCGCGGATCCAAGAACTCCGCGCGGAGCGCCAGAAGTTTTGGCGTATGTCCTCTTTCTTCTTCGAGCACCGGCACACCCGAGCAGCAGAAGAAGGAACATCAGCACGTGCACAAACCGCCGGAGAAAGCGAGAGCACTGCACGAGCACAGTCCCGCGGAGCTCCGCGCGGATGTCTCGGGTCGGCGCTGGGCGCCCGCCCTGGCAGGCACGAGGCGCGCCAGGGGGCGGCACGAGCCTCAGGCGCGCCCCAGCAGCACAGAACTGTGACGAACAGTTGCTCGAACACCAGGCGCGCTGGAGCGACACCTTGGCTTGAGCCAGAGTGGCTACAGTCGACCCGCATGGTAAGGATGGGCAAGCTTCCCAAGGGCACCCTGGCATCCTTGCCTCCTCGGCCCATCCAGGGCCACTTGCGTTGGCCGCGCCCCGCTCGAAAGGCTTCGAAATGGGCGCCCAAGGCCCTTGCATCCTTATCATCGCGCAATCCTTCTGATACGGGCCGGCTGTACGGAGCCCGGCGACGGGGGCGCTGAGCAGCCCTTTTCCAGACGCAGAACGTGCCAGACGTGGTCCCCGAGGCGCGCCGCGACCGACAAGGCGGCGCTTCGCTGCGCGCGGACTCCGCGAACGACGCGACGGGGACGACGAGGGCGGCCCCAGGCAGGTGCCTCTCGCACCCCACCGAGACCACCGGGGAGGCTGCGGGGGAGACACCATGGCAGGGCGACTCGTGGACCCGATGGGAATACAATTCGTCGTCGTCTTCACCACCAGCATCACCAGCACGAGCACCGTCATCAGCACAACCATCACCATCATCACCACCAGCATCACGACCATCACCATCACCAGCACAATCCCCATCAGTACTATCTTCGCTATATATACATCGTCATCGTCATCGTCGTCACCACCGTCACCATCATCCACAAAGCCCTCGCATTCTCCTGGCCACCATCCTCACCCTCATGCGCATGACCAGCATTATCAAGTAGCATCATCATCATCATCATCATCATCATCATCATCAGCAGCATCATCAGCATCATCACCATCACCCTCATCAACATCGTCGTCGTTTTCGTTGTCAGCATCATTATCACAAGTATCATCATCGTCATCATCAGCATCGTCCTCATCATCATCTCCGTATTCACCATGACCACCACCATCTACACACCAACGTCAGCCATGCTGACAAGCTGCATCCCGGCCCTCATCCTCAACCCCCACGTCCAATCCCCGTCCTCCTCGCCCCTCTTCTTGATGCACACCCCCCTCTGCCCTCCCCCGATCCCCAGCATCCGCGTCATTCCCGCATCTTGTTCATCCACGTTCACCTTCTGACCCAAATCCTCACGCTGCTATTCATCCAACCCCTTCTCCAACTCGACACCATCATCGCGACCATCATCAGCATCATCACCACCATCATCGTCATCAGCATCATCATCCTTAGCCTCATCAACATCATCATTATTATCACCATCATCAGCAGCAGCACCATCAGCATCCTCATCACCACCATTATCATCAGCATCCTCATCACCATCATCAGCAGCATCATCAGCATCACAATCATCATCAACAACACCACCCATGTCCTCCAAATCCCCTTCTCCCCCCCCACCCTTCCAGGTTCCTCCTCCTGCTCCTCCTTTGCCTGCTTCACCCTGTGGAGGCGGCCCGTCCCCCTGGCTGAAGCCGTTTGCGGCCTCGAGCTGGGACGGGAGGCCTCGAGCAGCTTTCGGCCTCCTGGGGCCCTCGCTGGGACCCGGGACCGTCCTTCCCCCCACGCCGACTCCACCGGCGTCCATCACGCCGCGCAGCGGAAAGAGAATGAGGGGAGAGGGGGGCGCGCGCACGCGCGCGCGCCACATCGGGAGACGGGGCGCGGGAGCCACTCTCTGCGCCGCAACTCCTTGAGTCCCGGGGCTCGCCGCCGGGCCCGGGGAGGCCAGCGGAGGTGCTCCGCCATCCCCTCCGAGCGCGGCGGTGGCGCCCTCCTGCAGCGCCCCTGCTCCCCCACCCCCTGGGTCGGGGGCCTCAGCTCCACGGGCAAGTGCTGCAGCACCCTCGGGTCCTCGCAAGGAGCAGAGGGGAAGAGGAGGAGGAGGAGGAGGAGGAGGAGGAGGTGGAAACTCAAGAGTCATGAACGATGTTGGAATGAACCCTCCCCCCAAGCTCCCTCTTCACAGGCCCGTAGAAAGGTTCATGTCCATTGAGGGAACTGCCTCGTTGGAAGACATCAGTTTGAGGGTCCCGAAGCGTGCCAAAAATTTGTTCTCGGGATTCCAACGCCACCCATCAACCTGACTGCTGCGTCTTGACGATCCAGAATCGTACCAGAACGCCATTTGTGGACTTCAACACAGCGAATCAACATAAATGTTGCGCCCATATAATCCTGAATCCTTCCAAAACACCATTCCTGGTAAGCTGATCATGGGAGCCCGTGGAACTCTTGCGAAATATTACAAACGAATGCGCGCGGCGCTAAGGTGAGAGCCACATGTTGAAAACCAACCGCCCTCACTCCGTGAAACTCTTGCAAAGTTTTACAATGAATGCACGCGGCGCTAAGGCGAGAGCCACATTTTGAAAACCGCCCACCTTCAATCCATGAAACTCTTGCAAATGTTTAAAACGAACGTGCGCGGCGCTAGGGCGAGAACCGCATTTTGAAAACCACCCGTCCTCACTCCGTGAAACTCTTGCAAAGTTTTACAACACATGTGCGCGGCGCTGAGGCGAGAGCCACATTTTGAAAACCGCCCGCCTTCAATCAATCAAACTCTTGCAAATGTTTGAAACGAGTGTGCGCGGCGCTAAGGCGAGAACCACGTGTTGGAAACCGCCTGTCCTCAATCTGTGAAACGCCTGCAATTTGTGTAAACGAATGTGCGCGACGCTAATGCGAGAGCCACATGTTGAAAACGCCCCGCCCACCATCTGTGAAACGGTTTACACTTCTTACGGTTCAGAACCATAAATGGTGGGGAAGTCTCAGGCGAGACGCACGGCCCGCCCTAAAAGCTGGCCCCGGGGTGCGACAGGGCGGAGTTATCTAGAGGGAGAAGGACTGGAGGAGGAGGAGGAGGAGGAGCAGGAGCAGGAGGAGGGGGAAGGAGGAGGAGGAGGAGGAGGAGGAGGAGGAGCAGGAGGAGGAGGACAGGGGGGGGGGGAGGAGGAGGAGAGAGGAGAGGGAGGAGGAGGAGAGGAGGAGGAGGAAGGGAGGAAGAGGAGGAGGAGGGAGGAGGAGGAGGAGGAGGAAGGAGGAGGAGGAGGAGGAGGAAGGAGAGGAGGAGGAGGAGAGGAGGAGCAGCAGCAGGGGGGAGCTAAAGGGGAAGGGGCTAGGAGGGAGGGGAGGAGGAGGAGGAGGAGGAGGAGGAGGAGGAGGAGAAGGAGAAGAAGGAGGAGAAGGAGGAGGAGGAGGAGGACGAGGAGGAGGACGGGGAAGAGGAGGAGGAGGACAGGGAGGAGGAGGACAGGGAGGGAGAGGGGGAGTGGAGGAGGAGGGCAGGAGCTGGAAGTAGCCCGTGCAGGAGGGGCGAGCAGTGGCTGGGGGGCCCTGGCGCTGCGGAGCGAGGTGCGAGTGGCGAGTGTGGAACGAACTGACGAACGAACCACCTGTGCGGACAAGGCGGGGGAGGCCATGGCCTCTGGGAGGGCTCAGACATGCACTGCGGCTGTGACTGCGGGTGGCGAGTGTGCGGTCCAATGCAATGAGCTAAAACGCTGGGATCAGCGCGTGAGAGAAGGGGGCGAGCAGCGGCTGAGCGAGATGGGGGAGTCGACCCTGGAGCCAGACGTCATCAGTTCTAGCGCTGGAATCAGCGAGCGCGGGAATGGCGGTCAGCGGCGACCCCGTCGTTGCTCAGCGAGATGCGAAAGGCGCATCTGGAGCCCGTCGGCATCCTCTACAGTGCTGGAAACAGCGCTTGCGAGACAACACGGCAGTGGCAGCAGGCGCTGTCGCTGTTCAGCGAGATCCAGCAAGCGATGATGAAGCAGACACGTGTCACTTGCGGTGTTGCGATGGGCGCATGCGGGGAAGGTGGTGGAGGAGGAGGAGGAGGAGGAGGAGGAGGAGAAAAAGAAGGAGGAGGAGAGGAGGAGAGAGGGAAGGAGGGGGAGGAGAAGTACGAGGAGGAGGAGGGGGAGGAGGAGGAGGAGGAGGACGAGGAGGCGGAGGAGGAGAAGGAGGAGGAGGAGGAGGAGAAGGAGGAGAAGGAGGTAGAGGAGGTAGAGGAGGAGGAGGTAGAGGCGGATGAGGAGGAGGAGGAGGAAGCCCAGCGCCACCAGCTGCCACGCCGGGGTCAGTGCAGGCGGGGAGGGCAGGCGGTGGCAGCTACGATGGCGCACGGATCGGCACCGGGGTTCTGGAGCGGACGGGGCGCGAGCGCCGCGGGCCATCCGCACGCAGTGAGCACGCGCCCCAGCGAGGGAGGAGGAGACGCAGGGGGGGGCGCGGGAGCGGAAAGGGAGCGGGGGAGGAGGAGGAGGAGGAGGAGGAGGAGGAGGAGGAGGAGGAGGAGGAGGAGGAGAAGGAGGAGGAGGAGGAGGAGGAGGAGAGAGGAGGAGGAGGAGGAGGAGAGAGGAGAGGAGGAGGAGGAGGAGGAGGAGGAGGAGGCGACACAAGAGCGAGGGAGGGGGAGCGGGAGAAGAGGCATCTTGCCCGCCCCCACCCCCACCCCCACCCGCCGAGAGTGGTGTGGCCGGCACCAGGGCGGGGACGCCACTTCAGCGACGCAAAAAACACCAGAAAAAACCCAAGCAGTGGATGGTAAAAAAAACTTGACGATGGTGAGATCGATGGTGATGTCCATGGTGAGATCGATTGAGTGAGAGGGATCGTCGTGAGATCGATCATGAGATCGATGGTGAGCTCGACCGTGGGATCCCGAAATCGGCCCAGAACCAGCCAACAGGAACCCGGGAACCTGGAGCCGGGAACCCGAGAACACAGCCGGCCACCGAAATCGACCCGGGACGTTCGCCAAATGTCTCAATGTCCGCGAGGACCCCCCCTTCAGTGCAAGCTCTGACTGTGAAAAGAATATTCGCAGTGTCCAGGTTGGGTTAACAATGCCGTTCCCCATGCTCGCCCCTTGGCCTCATCCCAAGGGGCTGGGACATGAGGCCAAGGCGAGGATGAGGCTGGGGGCAAACGACGGTAGTGGGATGATGGGGGCGTGTCTCAAAGGGAAGGCGAGCCTCACGCACGATGACACAGCGGCCATTCTTCTCAGCGGTGGGCAGGTCAGCTCCGCTCCCCGTCGTGCGGATCCAAGCGTCGCCGGGCAGACCAGGAGCCTCACACGGGCCGACCTGCGAGTGGCAAACTCTCGCAGAGGGCCTCGGCCAGAAAGAAAAGCGAGCGTGCCGCCAGCGAGTACGTAGTTCCCGAAGTTCGAACGGCCAGCAATACTGCAGACACGCACACGACTTGCAAAGGCGAAGAGGGGGGCATGAAATCTGGGCAGGCATCTGGGCATTGCTTGGCCTTGCTTGGCGCTGTTTGGCACTGCTTGGCGCTGCGCCGAGGAGCCACGAGCAACACCAGGGGGCGTCCTCTGACGATGGAACCCCGAAGGACCCCGAGCAGCGCCGATGGACCGCGAGCAACGCCAGGGCTGGCCTCTGACGGAGCCACCCCGCGAGCGAGAGCCACACGAGCAGGCCCGTCGGCTGCTCGGCCCTGTGCAGGGCACGGGTGAGCAGTCGGTCTGCCAGCGAGACAGCAGCACCGCATCTCCACGGGGTCCTTCCACAGGCAAGCAAGCACCCCCCAGGCGAAGCCTGATTGGGGAACCCTTTGTTATTACTTTTGTTTTGATTGGGGAACCCTGGCCCTCGATCCTCGGACCACGGTTTCCCGGGCTCGATCCTTCGATCCTCGATCCTCGGGCCTCGATCTTCGAGCCACAGCTCCCCGATCCCCGATCCCAGAACATATCGACCCCCGAACTTCGAACCTCCGATCCTCCTCGATCCTTCGATCCTCGACCCTCGAACCGCGGCACCTCGATCCTGGACCGTCCGAGCATCTGTCCTCGGCCCCTCGGCCCCTCGGCCCTCGCACCTCGCTCACTCGGCCGCTCGCTCCTCGGCCACTCGCTCCTCGGCCGATCGAATCTTCGACCCTCGATCCCTCGATCCCTCGATCCTCGAGCCTCGATCCTCGAGCCTCGAACTGGGGAAACCAAAAGGTACCGATACCGCCACTCCCCGGACCTCTCCCGGGAGGCGTTCAGACCAAGAGTTCGGAGCGAAGCCAGCGGTGACGACGAGGGCCTCCGAGGAGGCCTAAAATTAGCCTGACGAAAGACCCAACCATACGTAGTTGTGAATACCGCAATTGTGGATATATTCTTCGGTGGCGCCCCCGGGCCACGAAACGAGTGAGGGGTGTGCCGAAATGGGGGGGTGGAACCGCATGCGGCGCAGCCACTGGGGCGCTCGGTGGAGCTCCCTATGGAGCCACGAAACGTGTGAGGGGTGTGCCAGAATGGGGGGTGGAACCGCATGCGGGCGCAGCCACTGGGGCCTTCGGTGGAGCTCCCTATGGGGCCACGAAACGTGTGAGGGGTATGCCAGAATGGGGGGTGGAACCGAATGCGGGCGCAGCCACTGGGGCCTTCGGTGGAGCTCCCTATGGGGCCACGAAACGTGTGAGGGGTGTGCCAGAATGGGGGTGGAACCGCATGCGGGCGCAGCCACTGGGGCCTTCGGTGGAGCTCCCTATGGGGCCACGAAACGTGTGAGGGGTGTGCCAGAATGCGGGGTGGAACCGCATGCGGGCGCAGCCACTGGGGCCTTCGGTGGAGCTCCCTATGGGGCCACGAAACGTGTGAGGGGTGCGCCAGAATGGGGGGGGGAACCGCATGCGGGCGCAGCCACTGGGGTCTTCGGTGGAGCTCCCTATGGGGCCACGAAATGTGTGAGGGGTGTGCCAGAATGGGGGGTGGAACCGCATGCGGGCGCAGCCACTGGGGCCTTCGGTGGAGCTCCCTATGGGGCCACGAAACGTGTGAGGGGTGTGCCAGAATGACGGGGTGGAACCGCATGCGGGCGCAGCCACTGGGGCCTTCGGTGGAGCTCCCTATGGGGCCACGAAACGTGTGAGGGGTGTGCCAGAATGGGGGGTGGAACCGCATGCGGGCGCAGCCACTGGGGCCTTCGGTGGAGCTCCCTATGGGGCCACGAAACGTGTGAGGGGTGTGCCAGAATGGGGGGGTGGAACCGCATGCGGGCGCAGCCACTGGGGCCTTCGGTGGAGCTCCTTATGGGGCCACGAAACGTGTGAGGGGTGTGCCAGAATGGGGGGTGGAACCGCATGCGGGCGCAGCCACTGGGGCCTTCGGTGGAGCTCCCTATGGGGCCACGAAACGTGTGAGGGGTGTGCCAGAATGGGGGTGGAACCGCATGCGGGCGCAGCCACTGGGGCCTTCGGTGGAGCCCCCTATGGGGCCACGAACGTGTGAGGGGTGTGCCAGAATGGGGGTGGAACCGCATGCGGGCGCAGCCACTGGGGCCTTCGGTGGAGCTCCCTATGGGGCCACGAAACGTGTGAGGGGTGTGCCAGATGGGGGGGGAACCGCATGCGGGCGCAGCCACTGGGGCCTTCGGTGGAGCTCCCTATGGGGCCACGAAACGTGTGAGGGGTGTGCCAGAATGGGGGGTGGAACCGCATGCGGGCGCAGCCACTGGGGCCTTCGGTGGAGCTCCCTATGGGGCCACGAAACGTGTGAGGGGTGTGCCAGAATGGGGGGTGGAACCGCATGCGGGCGCAGCCACTGGGGCCTTCGGTGGAGCTCCCTATGGGGCCACGAACCGTGTGAGGGGTGTGCCAGAATGGGGGGTGGAACCGAATGCGGGCGCAGCCACTGGGGCCTTCGGTGGAGCTCCCTATGGGGCCACGAAACGTGTGAGGGGTGTGCCAGAATGGGGGGTGGAACCGCATGCGGGCGCAGCCACTGGGGCCTTCGGTGGAGCTCCCTATGGGGCCACGAAACGTGTGAGGGGTGTGCCAGAATGGGGGGTGGAACCGCATGCGGGCGCAGCCACTGGGGCCTTCGGTGGAGCTCCCTATGGGGCCACGAAACGTGTGAGGGGTGTGCCAGAAGGGAGGGGGAGGAGGGAGGAGGAAGGAGAGGAGGAGGAAGGAGGAAGGAGGAAGGAGGATCGCGGGGACCGTCTCTTCAAAACGAGGACCCAACAACACAGGTTGGTTGGGCGAAAAATGGAAGACGAGAAAGAGGTTGAGGCATGGCTACCTTTTCCTCCGCCGACGAACTTCGAGCTTCGAGCCTCGAAACTCAAAAGCTCCTCGCGCACGGCCGCCAGCGCCATGCCGCGGTCCATCGGGCGGCCACCGGGCAGGAAACGGGCCGCCTGCGCAGGCGCCGGCCAGCCCGCAGCTCGCTCGCGCAGGGGGCAGCTCGTCCAGGTCGCGCTTGTCGTCGTCGTCCTCCTCCTCCACGTCGTCATCATCATCGTCCTCCTCATCATCATCATCATCATCATCACCATCACCCATCATCATCATCATCATCATCATCATCATCATCATCATCATCATCATCATCATCATCATCAGCATCATCATCAGCATCATCATCATCACCATCACCATCACCATCACCATCATCATCATCATCATCATCATCATCATCATCATCATCATCATCGTCGTCCTCCTCCTCAGCATCATCACCATCACCCATCACCATCATCACCACCATCATCATCATCAACAGCAGCAGCATCAGCACCATCATCATCAGCATCATCAGCATCATCATCATAATCAGCATCACCATCATCAGCATCGTCAGCATCATCATCGTCCTCCTCCCTCCTCCCCCTACTCCTCGTCTCTCCTGGCCCGTCCTCCCACGTCCTCCTCCTTTCTCCTTCCTCCTCCCACTTCCCTCCTCCTCTTCCTCCTCCTCGTCCCTCCTCGCTCCTCTGCTCCTCTTCCTCCTGTGTTCCTTCTCCTCCTCCTCCTCCTCCTCCTCCTCCGCCTTCCTCATCCTCCTCCTCCTCCTCCTCCTCCGCCCCTCCATCGCCTTCCTCATCCTACCTTCCTCCCTCCTCCTCCTTCCTCTTCCTCCTCCTACCTCCTCCTCCTCCTTCCTTACTCCTTCTCCTCCTCCTCCACCTCCGCCTCTCCTCTTCCTCCTCCTCCTCGCTCTCTGTCCTCCTCCCTCCTCCACCCCCCCCTTCCATTATCCTCCTCCTCCTCGTCTTTCTTCTCCTCCTCCTCCTCCTCCTCCTCCTCCTCATCCCTCCCACTCCTCCGACAAGAAAGAGGAGGAGGTTCGAAGAGGTGTTTCATACTTCTTGGCCTCTGGAGGCCCATTCTGCTCCCAAGGGACAACGGGACAAGATGGACCCCAGGAGGGGTCCAGGGACAAGTGTTCAAAGGATTCGATTCGGCGGGCGTCGAGGGAAGAGGAGAAGGGAAGACAGGAGGACCGTAAAAGAAGGAGGAGGTGGAGTGGGGAGGCAGTAGCGAGCAGCGCTTCGTCGGGATCTGGAGGGCTGCACCTCGGCCTCCTCCTCCTCCGCCTCCTCCACCTCCTCCTCCGCCTCCTCCTCCTCCTCCTCCACATGCGTCCCGTCCTTCTCTTCCTCCTCCTCGGCGGAGGCGGAGGGGGAAGAGGAGAGAGGATGGGAAAAGAGTGGAACGGGATGCGGACTTCAACTTTTTATACAATGTGTGTGCATGCGTGAGCGAGCGAGTGTGTGTGTGTGTCTGGGTGGGTGGGTGGGTGCGTGCGTGCGTGCGTGCGTGTGTGCGTGCGTGCGTGCGTGCGTGCGTGCGTGGGTGTGTTGGGTGTGTGGGTGCGTGCGTGCGTGTTGTGCGTGCGTGCGTGAGTGCGTGCGTGCGTGCGTGCTGCGGAGCGTGCGGGCGGGCGGGCGGCGTGCGGGCGTGCGGGCGTGTGTGTGTTGTGTGTGTGTGTCCGTGTGTGTGGGTGTGGGTGTGGGTGTGGGTGTGGGTGGTGTGGGTGTGGCTGTGGTCTGTGGGTGTGGGTGTGGTGGGTGTGGGTGTGGGTTGGTGGGTGTGGGTGTGGTGTGTGTGGGTGTGGGTGTGGGTGGGGTGTGGGTGTGGGTGTGGGGGTGTGGTGTGGGTGTGGTGTGGTGGGTGGGTGGGGTGTGTGTGTGTGTTGTGTGTGTTTGGTGCGTGGTGTGAGTTTGTGGGTTGTGGTGTGTGGCGGGTGTGGATTGGTGGTTGTGTGCGAATAAGAATATGGATAATAATATGAATATACATGGGAATATGGATATGACTATGGATATAAATATGAATGTGGACATGAATACGCATATGAATATGCATATGGATATGAATGTGGATATCGATATGACTATGAATGTGAATGTAAATGTGAATGTGAATGTGAAGGTGAATGTGAATGTGATAGTGAATGTACATGTGAATGGGAGTGTGCGTGCATGTGAGATGTGCGTATGTATGTATGCGAGTGTGCGTGCGTGCGTGCGTGCGTGCGTGTATGCGTGTGTGCGTGGAATGTGTGGGGGGTATGACGGGATTCTGGGCTCTAGACACCTCCTCCCTTCCATCCTCCTACTCTTCTTCCCAATCCTCCTGCTTTTCCTCCTCATCCTCCTCCACATCACCATCATCAGCATCACCATCGCCATCACCATGAGCAACAACATCAACATCCTCGTCGTCGTCGCCGTCATCGTCCTCGCTATCATGACCAGTCACCGTCACCGTACCCGTCACCACCACCATCGTTACTCCCTCTCCTCCTCCTCCTCCTCCTCCTCCTCCTCCTCCTTATCCTTCTCCTCCTCATCCTGCTTATCCTCCTCCCCTTCCTCCTCCTCCTCCTCCTCCTCCTCCTCCTCCTCCTCCTCCTCCTCCTCCTCCTCCTCATCCTTCTCCTCCTCATCCTGCTCATCCTCCTCCTCCTCCTCCTGGTCCTACTCCTCCTGCCGCTCGGCGGGCGAGCCTCGGGGTTCGCCCCGACGGCGCGGAGCAGGAACTGCCGGTCGCTGCGCAGGGCTCCCCCCGCGAGCTCCAGCGCCTGGGCGCGGCGCGGCAGACGCGCGCGCCCCGCTCTCCTGCGGGCCTGAGTGGCCCGGGGGGAGGAGGCGGAGGAGGAGGAGGAGGAGGAGGAGGAGGAGGAGGAGGAGGGGGAGGAGGAGGAGGAGGGGGAGGAGGAGGAGGAGGGGGAGGGGGAGGAGGAGAAGGAGGAGGAGGAGGAGGAGGAGGAGGAGGAGGAGGACGAGTGGCCTGGGGAGGGGGAGGAGGCGGAGGAGGAGGAGGAGCAGTACGGTCGGGCCTGGGCCAGAATAAGATCCTTCTCAAGGACATGGCTGCCCGCGGCCTCTTCCCGGATCCCGCGTCGGGCTCGCTGGACGCATGCTTTTGCCCACGCGCCTACTGGCGTATGGCTTGTTCGATTCGATTCGAAGGACATGGGACCCTTCGACGACCAAAACGGACAGAACATTCAAGGGTACCATCCCCAGGGTGGACGAAACATCCAACAAGCACGAAGAACATGAGGGCGCCCTCCCCGAATCGATCTCGATCGTAATTATCGGCCCGACTGTAGAGGAGGAGGAAGAGGAGGACCGCAAGGACCTACGAGAGCCGTCGTCTCTACCACAAGCGTGCCACAGCATACCATCGCATACCATGGCGCATCAATCCAAGATAACTGCGCGAACGTGCCAGCGCGTAACAAGCACAAAGGAGGAGGAGGAGGAGGAGGAGGAGGAGGAGGAGGAGAAGGAGCGAGGAGGGACGTCGCTAACGCGGGCAGCGACAGTGGCGGCGGCAAAGACGACGAGACGGCGGCGGCGACGGCGACGGCGACAAACACCCATCAGAATCCACACAGAAACGTCCCCTGGACCCCAGGGACCCATCTTGGTAGGAGCTTTTCGGGCCGCGTCAGGCTGTGGCGACGAGGGCCTCCAGGACCGCACCCAAAACACATACATCCAAAACAAATTGTCGACAAGGCTTCCCCCTCCCTCTCTGGGACCGGGCCTGCCGAAACAAATACGGCATCATCCAAAACTAAAGGGCCCCAGACACCGAGCCGTCCCCTCTCTGCTGAGTCGGTCGAGCCCGACCGAGCCACGCAGAAGCGCCTGGCGCCAACAGAAGTTTTCAATGCCACGCCAGGTCTCATGCCCCCCCGTCGTCATCGTCGTCGCCGCCGTCGTCGCCGCCATCGCCGACGTCGTCGCCGTCGCCGTCGCTGTCGCCGCCGTCGCCGTCGCCGCAGTCGCCGTCGCCGTCGCCGTCGCCGCCGTCGCCGTCGCCGTCGCCGCCGTCGCCGTCGTCGTCGCCGTCGCCGTCGCCGCCGTCGCCGCCGTCGCCGCGGTGGCCGTCGCCGCCGTCGCCGTCGCCGTCGCCGCCGTCGCACCCGCCGCGGAGCGCCTGCGCGCACGACGCGACGGCGGCCAGGACGATGCTCGGCTCCTCCCGCAGGGCGTCGGCCGCGTGCCTGTGCGGCGGCGCCACCGCCGTCGTCATCGGGGCGTCTCGCAGCCGCCGCCGCCGCCGCCGCCGTCGTCGTCGTCGCCGCCGTCGTCGTCGTCGTCGTCGACGTCGTCGTCGTCGTCGTGGTTGTCGTCGACGTCGTCATGGTCGTCGTGGTCGTGGTCGTGGCCATGGTCGTCGTGGTCGTCGCGGCGTCCGCCGCCGTCGCCGTGGCCGCCGCTGCCAGTACCGTCGTCGTCGTCGTCGTCGCTATCGCCGTCGGCGCGGCCGTCGTCGACGGCGTGGTCGTGGCCGCCGCCGCCGTCGGCATCGACGTCCTTGTCGTCGTGGTCGTCGTCGCTTGTACTGCATGAGCCTCGCCATCCTCCTCGTGCCCCCCCCCTCTCCGCCGGCGCGCTCTCACGGATGCCTGCGGAGGGGACGATCCCAGGGAGTCCAGGGCGCCCAGCAGGCGCTTCATGATCAGGGGAGGAGGAGGGGCGCGGCAGGAGACGGGGAGGAGGAGAGCGGGGAGGAGACGGCGTAACCGTTGAGGCATGCATGTGCAACTCGGGTTCCCGCAGGGTGGCGCTGGGGCCCTGTTTGGGATACAGTCGTGGTGGATGGGAGAGGACACGCGAGAGGACACGAGACTCTTCCGATGGCCGCATTGCCATTGGTACGTAGAGGAGGGCATGGGTCGCGAAGCACAGGACACGAGGATACCCGTGGTTGGGCAGGGTCGGCCTACTAATCAAACTCGACTGCAAGCCCGCATTTGCCACTTTCGCCACCTGCGGAGCCTGCATCAGCAGCAGCGCAGGCCAGGTAGTGGCTGCGTGCCCACTACTCGGGATACCTCACCGCGCGCGGAGGAAGAGGAGTGCAGGCTGGTGCCGCCCGGTCAGAAGTGGGAAAGCGCACCGCAAGGCTGAGCAGGAAGGAGGAATGCACCACAGCAGTAAGATGCAGAGTTCCCGTGCGGAGCGCGAGAGCGCGGAGGGGGGCGCAGACGCGCAGACGCTCGCATTGCCCCGCGGAGCTACTCCGTTTCCGACGCCACCGCCGCTAGCCGAAGCACCTGAATCCGCCGCGCCCACCAGACCCGCACCTGTGCCAGCTGGGAGCGGGCGAGGCCCAAGCCAAGGGCGACCTCAGCGGGCGGCTGAACACCGTTAGCGCTCGAGGGCAACAGTGGCATCCACCCTGATGTCATTCAAACGTTCTAACGTCATGGGAACGTGCTGCACAAGTCCTTACACTTGTGATACACGTGAAGTTCAAGCGCCGTGGCCTGCAAGCACGATTTGCGAGAGAACTCCGATCCCACCCGCCCCCCGACCGAGCCCCATCCGGATGATCGGGTCACCCAAGAAGCGGCGTCTGCGCCACTCTGAACTTGGCCATGCGATAGCACAAGCGCGCAGCGCACACAGTGCGCAACCTGATAAAACGACCCATAGCTCCGCGCGCACTTTGCAGGAGGCGTGCCTTTGTGAAGCTTGGACATCGTCGTCCAAGCTCCTGCCAGCGTCTTCATTGTACTCCACTGATAAGCGAGCTTCCGCGATTGCATGCACTCCTTGCATTCCCCCCACCGGTCCTCCACCACCGCCTGGCCCCCAAGCAGCATGACGCGCCATGCGCTGAGCCGCATACAGGGAATGATGGATGGCAAACATGCCTGGCAAGGCCGACGGGCGCAAGGTTCTGGCAAACATTCGCTGTGGACGTGGACTCTTGCACTCTGAGAGTGCGAGCCTCGCGCGGTAACGCGCTGCACGGAACGCATCTCGCCATCCCTGAATATTCTTGAAGCGCGGGGGCGGGAGGCGAACGCGCTCGAGAAATTGGGCAATGGCGAGAGGGTGCTGCAAACACTGGGCTGGATATGTATCCTGTCTTAAGCTAGTGATGGCAACACTATCTTGCGCACATTCTCCAAGTTCGTGCAACGCAGGCTGCCAAACCTGACCCATCGTTCTGACTGGGGCGCGCCAGCTGCTGGCCCGCGCTACCAGCTGGACAGGAGTGGGAGCGATGGTATGGACAGACGGGAAGGCGTTCAGGTCTGCAAGGCGAAGGCTGCTGGGTGGCAGCCGCAGCAACTTGTGACGGGCCTGCTGCTCGAGCCTCCGAAACAGCTGGGAGGGAGAAGAGTGGGGCAACGTAGGAAAGAGTTGAGAAGGCCGTGGGATTATCGAGCGCCGACACCACCACGCTCGAGGAAGCCCTTGCGCGCAGTAGCGCAAAATTGTCCGCGACCGCCACCTCTCCGCCGCAGCCCCCCCAGATGGTGCCCAGCCACTTCTGGCCACTGCGGCGCCCTCCCCGTTCGAACGGAGGTTAACGACCAGAGGGTCGATCCTACTGCATGGTCCGCAGGTGGAGAACGATGAGGAGAAAAGATGGAGGCGGTTTATCCTCGCGCCCGATGAAAGGCGGGCGCAGAAGTATCCAATAGGACGTGCAATACCTCGAGCCAGGAGGACAGCAGCGCAAAGATGCAATGAAGGGGGAGAGGAGCGGTCTTCACACACACACACACAGACACACACACACACACACGCACACACACACACACACAGACACACACACACACACACACACACACACACACACACACACACACACACGCACACGCACACGCACACACACACACACACACACACACACACAAGCACCCCGTCTGCGTCTCTCGCCCACCAGCGAGCTTAGCACCTCCCTCCTGCCATGTGCCGGGCTGTCCGCTGTGCCGCCCGCCTGCCGCAGGGGGGTTGCGGCCAGGCTGTGCAAGCCTCTTGCTGTGCTGCTGCGACCGCAGTGCTTCCAGCCCAGTGGATTTAGAGGGGCCCAGGGGCGCGCAAATCAATAACCACAAATCCCAAGATCCCCCATATGCTTCAAAATTCTCGAGGTTTTTCGTCTTCCCCGTCACTTCCAATCTTTTCCCTTTTTGTTCCAGGGAGTCGACGATTCATTGTGTCTGTGTTTTTGTTCCCTCCTGGCTATTTGCGTCTCTGTCTGTTCCGGCCACGGCCAGGAGCGCTTGCTCAGAGCGTCGCGGCGGCGGCCCTGGCGACACGCTGCGCCTTGCAAGCGGATAGCGTGTCGCTCCGAGCCTCGGGACGGGAGGCTGGGAAGACCTCGGGACGTTGATGCTGAGATCTTGCAGCGTGATCAGCGTGATCAGCGGTCACGCTAATCTAGCAATCCTTCCCCACCGTATTGCTTTCTGCCTCTTGTAGCTATGTCTCCCTTCTGCTGTCTATCAGGCCCGAGGAAGACATCCAGACGGGGGCTGGGTATAACTGGAGAGAAACTAAATCTAACTGAGGGCAATATGAATGTAAGTAGCTGTGTGGAAACTAACTGCACCTGAAGCTTACGACTGCGCGCAGCTGACTGCAACTGCGCATCACTCAGGAAGGGGGGGGGACGGAGCGTGCGGGAGGCGGAAGCCTGCGCGCGACTGAAGGAGGAGGGCGACGGAGCGCAACTGAGGGCAGCCGAGGGTAGATGAGGGCAACCGCGGCGAAACTCCCGCCCTTCGCCCTCCGCCCGCCGCCCCTCCGCCCTCCGCCCGCCACCCTCCGCCCTCCGCCCTCCGCCCTCCGCCCTTCCGCCCTCCGCCCTCCACCCGCCGCCCGGGGTTGACAGCCGGCGCTCCAGCCGACGCCAGCCGCGGCCACAAGGCCTCCCCTGGAGAGCTGCGCCGCGCGGGCGGGCGGCGGGCAGAGCGAGAGGCGGCGGGGCGGCGCCGGAGCGCAGCGCCGTGCGCGAAGACGGCCCGGCGCACGAACGCGAAGTCGCGCCGCAGGGCCTGCGCGGGCGGCGTCCCGCGCAGGCGAGCCCGACCGTCCTGCTCGCCCTCCCGTCCTCCGTCGTCATCCTCCGCCCTCGTGCTCCACCCTCCTCTTCCTCCTCCTCCCTCCTCCTCCTCCTCCTCCTCCTCCTCCTCGTCCTCCTCCTCATCCTCATCCTGCTCCTCCTCCTCCTCCTCCACCTCCTCCTCCTCCTCCCCTCCTCTCCTCTCTGGTACTGCTGGCTCCCCTGGTCCTGCTCTCCTCCCTCCTCCTCTTCCTGGTTCTCCTCCTCCTCCTCCTCCTCTCCTCCTCCTCCTCCTCCTCCTCCCCTCATCTCCTCATCTCCTCATCTCCCTCCTCCTCCTCCTCCTCCTCCTCCTCCTCCTCCTCCTCCTCCTCCTCACCCTTCTCCTCGTCCTCCTCCTCCTCCTCCTCCTCCTCCTCCTCCTCCTCAACCCCCAGTCCTAATGGAAAAAAACTCCTCCCTGTCGCACCCCGAAACAGGTCCGTGGGGCAGGCCGTGCATTTCGCCTGAGACTTCCTGGCCATGTATGACCCTGAAGCTTGAAAGTCCAAATAGTTTCACGGGTGCAAGGCGGGCCGCTTTCAAAAAGTGACTCTCGCCTCAGCGCCGCGCACATTCGTAGTAAAAAGTTTGCAACAGCTTCACGGATGGAGGGAAGGAGGGGGAGAGAAGGGAGCGAGAGAATGAGCACGCGGATGAGAAGGTGTTGGGACAAGTTCGAAGGAGAAGGAGAAGAAGGAGGACAGAGAAGGAGGGACGAGAAGGAAAGAGGAGGCTGGGGGTAAGGAGGAAGAGGCGGAGATGGTGTAGGAGGAGGAAGAAGACAACGACGACGACGACAATAAGGGAGTTGCAGGGGAAGGGCTAGGAGGAGGGAGGATAGATAGACGGAGGATGGGCAACCCAGTGCGAGAAAGAGGAAGAGGCGGAGGAGGGGGAGACGCAGGAAAGCAGAGTAGAGCAGAGAGAAGGGGGGGGAGGAGGAGGAGGAGGAGGAGGAGGAGGAGGAGGAGGAGGAGGAAGAGAGGAGGAGGAGAGGAGAGGAGGAGGAGGGAAGAAAGGGGGAGCACGAGCAGGAGGGAGGGAGAAGGAAGGAGGAGGAGGAGCAGGAGAAAAGCAGGAGAAGGAAGAGGAGGAGGAGGAGGAGCGAGCGAGGAGGAGCGAGCGAGGAGGAGCGAGCGAGGAGACCCGAGGAGGCGGAGCGAGAATCTCCGAGGACGACGACCGCGGCGGAAGGCGGCGCTCGCGGAGCGCCCGGCCTCGGAGGCGTGCGCCAGGGCCTCGCCGCCGCCGCTGGACAGCGCCAGCAGCACGAAGCTCGGGTCGTCCTGCCGCCCGCCCACCCCGTGGCGCCGGCATCGGGGATCGAGGACCGAGGGCCCTGTCAGTTCGTAGATCGGAGGTCGGGGATGTGGGGATCGGGGATCGAGGATCTTCCCGCCCCCCCCACACACCCCCACACACCCCTACACACACCCACACACACACACACACACACACACACACACACGTGGCACCAGGGGATCCGGGATCGAGGATTGAGGGCCTTGTCAATTGGTCAGTGCGTGCCCGGGAGGGGTTGAGGGGCAGCTCCGAGCGGATTCGAGCTGAGGGAAAGAATAACTACCTACCAGACCACCCCAGCCCAGCCCGAAGGTCGAATTTCGGGTTGGGGGGGGGCACGGGGTCCTTCTGTTGTTTGGAATGTTCCCAGACGCTCCCGCCCCCCCCCCCACACCACCACTGGGAAAGGAAGGCATGTTGGGGCCTTCGGGTTGGGCTGGGGTGGTCTGGTGGGTGGGCGAAGGAACAGGGAGGCAGGGTGGTTTTACTGCAGCGGGCCCCCCCAGGGAGGAGGCAGGGAGGCAGGAGGAGCAGGACAGGTCGCCGGGGGCAGGGCGGGAGGGACGAGGGAGGAGGCAGTTAGCATGCGGGGAGGAGGTCAGAGGCACACGGGAGGAGGAGCAAAGGAGAAGGGTCGACGAGGGACCAGGGAGGTGGGACGAGCCGAAGGAGGAAGCGAGGCGTGAGGGGGAAGGAAGGAGGGAGGAGGCAGCACAAGGTAGGAGGCTCGAAGCGGATTAGAAAGGACCCGATGCCCGATGGCCGTTCATTTGGACGCCGAGCGAGGTCGAAATCGAAGCCGAGCTCGAGGTCAAGGCTATCATCGTCAAGTTCGTCGCCGCCACCGCCGTCGTCCTCTTCGTCGTGAGGGGGGGGGGGGGGGGCGTGCGGGTCCCGAAGCCGGCAGGACGCGTGCCTTAGGCAGGAGACGTCCTGCTTGACCGCACCCAGCACCACCTGCGTTTCGCGAGGGGGCGTCACCCAGCCCCTCCCTAGCTCATCAGCCTCGGCCTCGTCGTCTGATGCCCTCTCCCCGTCCTCATCTTCACATTCCTCTTCCTCCTCCTCCTCCTCCTCCTTCTGCTGCTGCTCCTCCTTCTCCTCCTCCTCCTCCTCCTCCTCCTCCTCCTCCTCCTCCTCCTCCTCTTCCTCCTCCTCCTCCTCCTCCTCCTCCTCCTCCTCCTCCTCCTCCTCCTCTTCCTCCTATCTCCCTTCCTTTCCCCCTTTTATCATCCTCCCGCTCTCCTCCTATCCTCTACCCCCCAACCCCCCCATCCCTCCTCATCCTGGCCCATCTCAGGTCATCCTCGCCCATCCTGTCCTGGCCCAGCCTGGCCGATCTTTACCGCCACCGCCACCGCGGCGTCAGGAGAGAGCACACTACCAGAGCAGCGCTTCCAGAGTAAAAGCAAGGAGAGGCGACACCACCACAAGCGCGAGGCGCCGGGAAGGATCCTCCAGGCGGCGTGGTAGGCGGTGTGGTCCCCCCCTCTCGCCGGAGACATCCCACATCCCCAGCTGGGGAAGGCAGGCATCGTGGAACCCCTCGCCAGAAGTGGGCCCCCTGGTTGCTGTGGTGTCGCCTCTCCTTCCTCCGATGGGAGTCGCCCCGCCTCCCATTTGTCGCGCAGCGCCTCCGACGCGTACTGCAGTGCGCCGGGCTGCTTGGCGACCAGGCAGTGCACGAAGACCTCGGCTTGCGGAGCACGACAGAGTGCGAGAGGATGAGGAGGTGGAGGAGGAGCAAGAACAACAGAACGAGCAAGAGCAAGAGCAAGAGCAAGAGCAAGTGCAAGAGGAGGAGGATCAAGAGCTGATGAAGAGGGAGAGGAGGAGGGAGGAGGGAGGAGGAGGAGGAGGAGGAGGAGGAGGATGAGGATGACGAGGAGGAGAGGAGGAGGAGGAGGAGGAGGAGGAGGAGGAGGGAGGAGGGAGGAGGGGGGAGGAGCAGAGAGAAGGAGAGCAAGGGGGGAGGGGGAGGAGGACGAGGAGGAGGAGAGAAGGAGGTTGGGGAGAGCACACAACGAGGAGGCGGAGGAGGAGGAGGGAAGAGAAGATGAGGAGGAGGAGGAGGAGGAGGAGGAGGAGGAGCATGGCCTGGAGGCGCAACGACTTCTCCTCCAGGGCGCCTCAGGGCTCACAGCCGAACCCGCCCTGTACATGTGGCCCCAACAGCGGGGGAGCAGGGCCACTACGTTGCCGGAGGCGGACGACGGCCAGGCAGAGGACGAGGTAGAGGGAGAAAGCGGGGAGAGGGAATGGGAGTTCGAGGGGAACGGGCAGGAATGGGACTGCTCCCCCCTCCTCCTCCTCCTCCTCCTCCTCCTCCTCCTCCTCCTCCTCCCCCTCCTCCTCCCCCGCATCCACCCTTTTCTCTGTCGCACCCCCGAACGTGTCTTTAGGGCGGGCTGGGCGTTTCGCCTGAGACTGATTCACCACGTGAAATCCTGAAGCTTGAACTCTGCAACGGCTGAACGATTTGAGGGCAGTGTTTCATATTTTTTAACGTGCTTCTCGTCTCAGCACCGCGCGTTTGCCCTAATAGTTAGCAGCATATTCAAGAATGGAGGGCGAGCCGCTTTCAAAATGCGACTCTCGCCGTAACACCGCGCACATTCATTCTAAAAAAGAAGCAGCTTCAAACAGAGGGCAGGCCGTTTTCAACGTGTGGCTCTCGCCTTAGCGCCGCGCGCATCCGTCCTGAGTGTACAACAGCTTCAAAACATGGGGGGCGGGTCGTTTTCAAAACGTGGTTCTCGCCTAAACACCGCACGCATTCATTCCACAAGCCCGCCATACCTTTCAAGCCTACCAGCTTAAAATATGTGGCTCTCGCCGCCACGCCGCGCACAGTCGGTCTAAAAATGGATTACAACAGTTTCAGGGTTCTGTCGATTGAAGTCCCAGGAACTGTGTTCTGGCACGAAGCGGGAGTGTCAAGATGCGGCAGTCGCGCGATTCGCGGTGTCGGAAAACCGAGAATAGCGTTCTGGCACGATGTATACTGTCAGGAAATGGCAATCAAATTAGCTCGCGGGGCATAAGTCCCGTGAACGACTCTTTGGCACAATTAATGATTCTCATACGGTGGTCTTCCAACGAAGCACTTCCCGCAACGAAGGAACATATTGTAAGGACCGATGGAGGGAATCTTGAGGAATGGCGTATTGTAATAACGTTGATGCGTCTTGAGTTTGCACTGGTCCTCCTCCTCCCCCCCTCTTCCTCCTCCTCCTCATTTTCCTCCTCTTCCTCCTCCTGGGGAAGGAGAACGGCGTGGGGAAGGAGGAAGACGAGGAGGGTAAGAAAAGCAGCATCCTGCCTCCGATTCCAGTGACACCCGTGCCAGGAGGGGAGGAGGAGGAGGAGGAGGAGGAGGAGGAGGAGGAGGAGGAGGAGGAGGAGGAGGAGGAGGACAGGCAGGAAGCGAAGGAAAGTGACTGGGAGAGGGCGATATTGGAAGAGAGGTTGATATTGTTGCAAAAGGGGCAGAGGAGAAGGTGGAGGGGGGGCAGGAGGAAGAGGAAGAGAAAGAGGATGAGAAGAACTTGAGATGATATGGCTTCGGGGCGCATTGACCCCTTTAGTTAACCCAACTTCCTGGCGCCACCACCCTGCAGGGCGCGGCGGTCGCAAGCATCTATCGTGCTCTTCGAAGTTGGGCACCGCACGTGCCATCTGACGAGCCTCCATACCCAAGAACCTCGCTATCCACCTCAGCAGAGGCCCGGTCTAGAGAGCGAAGAACTGCGCCAGCATCAACATTCGAAGGTCCACACGGAGTTCCTGGATCGGCGCTGGACCTCTGCCCCCGGCGTGCGGAGCGCGCCCGGGGTGGCGCAAGAGGCGCAGCCAGGGGTGCCCAGCGCCGATCCGAGAGGTCCGCGCGGATCTCCGAAAGGGGGAGAAGGAGGAGGAGGAGGAGGAGGAGGAGGAGGAGGACGATGACGACGAGGAGGACGAGGACGAGAAGTCCAGGTTCCCCTTCGACGTTCCGCCTGTCGGCCCTGCCCCTGCGCTCCGCCGCGCGACAGGCCGGCGCCCGAGAGGCCGCGCCGTGCCGCTGCGCCTCTGGCGGCCGCGCGCCTCCCTCCCTGCCTGCTGCGGGGGCCCTGCCCGCGGCTCCCTCGAGCTGCAGCGGATGCACCCAGGGCAGCGCCCGGGGGAGGCACCGCTTCCTGCGGGGGCACCTGCCCAGACAGAATCGGCTCCTCCTCCTCCTCCTCCTCCTCCTCCTCCTCCTCCTCCTCCTCCTCCTCCTCCTCCTCCTCGTCCTCCGCCCCCTCCTCCTCCTCCCTCCGACCCCTCCTCCTCCTCCTCCTCCTCCTCCTCCTCCTCCTCCTCCTCCTCCTCCTCCTCCTGCTCCTCCTGCTCCTCCTCCTCCTCCTCCTCCTCCTCCCTTCCAGCTCCTCCCCCTCCTCCTCCTCCTCCTCCTCCTCCTCCTCCTCCTCCTCCTCCTCCTCCTCCTCCTCCTGCTCCTCCTTCAGACGGCCAGGTCGACTGAGACAAGTGGCCCCAGTCTTACGTGGTTCGTTGGCCGCGAAGCTCGAGCGAGGCCGGCGCGAGCTGGTGCGGCATGGCCTGTAACAGTACCCCGTGCCTGCGCGGTGGTAGCCCTGGCACTTCTCTGGCAAGAGGGTTGGTAAAAGGGTGAGGGTGAGGGGAAGGCAGAGGAGATGGTGAAAGTTGGGGGGCTTGAAGGAAGAGGGGGAAGGATGAAGATGAGGGAGGATGGAGGGGGAAAGGACGAGAAAGGAGGAAGGAGAAGGAAGGAGTTAGGAGGCAATCCAGGAGGTTCCTCCTCCTCTTTTTGTTGTTCCTCCTTCCCCCCCCCCCCTCCTCCTCCTCCTCCTCATTCGCCTACTCCTCCTCCCCATGCCCACTACGCTGCGTGGGGGTGGGCGCGTGGGGGTAGAGCAGAGAGGGCGGGGAGAAACTTGTCACGAAAAGGAGGAAGGGCTGGCCAGCGGACTCCCGCAGGAGGCGGATGACTCCAACACGCTCCCCCACCAGATGCTCCATCTCACCATCTTTATCCTCCTGCTCCATCGATTTCCCACCCCACCCCCCACCTCCCCAACTCGTACCCCTATCAATACCCTCCCTCCAGCTCCTCCACCTCCTCCTCCTCCTCCTCCTCCTCCTCCTCCTCCTCCTCCTCCCTCCTCCTCCCTCCTCCTCCTCCCTCCTCCTCCTCCTCCTCCTCCTCCTCCTCCTCCTCCTCCTCCTCCTCCTCCTCCTCCTCCCTCCTCGTCCTCCCCGTCCTCCTCGTCCTCGTGGTCACCATCATCACCCTCAGTATAATGATCATCAGCATCGTCATCATCAGCAGCAACAGCAACAGCATCAGCAGCATCATCATCATCAGCAGCAACAGCATCATCAGCATCATTATAATCAGCATCATCAGCATCATCATCCTCAATAACATCAGCATCGTCATGTGCACCATCAACATCAGCATCATCAGCAACAGCAGCAACATCATCATCATCATCATCATCATCATCATCATCATCATCATCATCATCGACATCAGTATCATCATCATGTTCATCATCATCATCATCATCATCATCATCATCAGCATCATCATCATCATCATCATCATCATCATCATCATCATCATCATCGTCATAGTCATCCTCGTCATCACCCTCATCGTCATCAACAGCTGTATCGTCATCAGCATCGTCAGCAGCATCATCATTGCCATCATCATCATCATCATCATCATCACCATCATCACCATCATCACCATCAGCATCAGCAGCAACATCCTCATCATCATCAGCATCATCAACATCAACATCAACATAATCATCATCAGCAGCATCATCATCCTCAACATCAGCATCCTTATCATCATCATTATCATCATCATCATCGTCATCGTAATCCTCATCATCAGCATCATTGTCATGAACAGCAGCAGCATCATCAGCATCATCAGCAGCATCACCATCGGTACCATCATCATCAGCAGCAGCATCATCATCATCTTCATCAGCAGCAGCATCAGCATCAGCAGCATCATCATCAACATCAGTATCAGCAACATCAGCATCATCAGCATCAGCCGCATCAGCAGCAGCATCACCATCGGCATCTTGCTCATCAGCAGCAGCAGCAGCATCACAATCAGCATCAGCAGCAACAGCATCAACATATTGATCCTCCTCTTCCTCCTCCTCCTCCTCTCTTCCCCCCTCCCTCCCACCTCGTACGTCTCATCAATACCCTCCCTCCACCTCCTCCACCTCCTCCTCATGCTCGTCCTCCTCGTTGTCCTCCCCGTTCTCCTCGTCCGCGTTGTCGTCACCAACACCCTCATCATCATGAGCAGCAGCATCATCACCATCATCCCCCTCCGCATCATCATCAGCAGCAGCAGCCGCGTCATCAACAGCACCACCACAACAAACAGAACCATCATTCTCATCGTCGTCGCTTTGGTCATGGGCAACATCATCAGCATAAGCAGTATCGTGAATACCTGCAGCATCAACCTCACCATCTGCATCGCTGATGCCGTCGTCCCCCCAATCAACGTACTAATCGGCAGCACCCTCCTCGACAGAAGCATCTGGAAAATAATGAGGGTACTAACGCTGATCACAATTATCCGCAACACAGGTATCATCAACCGCATCATCAGCATCATCAATAGCACCACCATCAGCATCACCAACGCCATCGTCATCATCGTCAGCCTCATCATCAGAATCATCATCAGCGCCAGCCTGGCCTTCACCATTGTCATCATCATCAGCATCATCAGCATCGTCATCATCGACATCAGCATCGTCAACATCAACATGATCATTGTCGTCAGCGGCAGCAGCAGCAGAATCAGCATCGGCATCAGCATCAGCACAATAAACAGCAGCATGGCCTGACCATCAAAAACAACATGATAATCACCATCCCAGTCATCATCCTTACTGGTCTCCCGTCCTCCTCCTCCTCCTCCTTCTCCTCCTCCTCCTCCTCCTGGTCGCCCTCCTACTCAGTCTCCTCTTTTTCTCCCTACGAGAAGCGACCACCAACTATGCCCAGCTAAGCAGACGTCAATCGCAGCAGTGCCAACCCATGCCAACATAATGCGACCGCCTGTGATGAAGCACGGGGCTGGTCTAGTTCTTATACTTCACAGGGCGAG